ACCTTCTTTTTATTACCTACAGGCCCCCTTGGTGGTCTAGCTCCAGCCTACTCTGGAACTTCGTTCAGAATTCCAGCTTATTCACTCTATTCAGTTCACACTGGCCTGGCTTCATTTATGTTATTTTGAAACGTGCAAACTCTCTCCTCCTTCAGAAACTTTGTTCTAGCTGTCCCTTCTAGAAGGAGAACTCTTTCCCCAGATAGCTACCTGGTGGGCCACTTGTCATCACTCAGGCCTCAGCTATGCTGTCGCTTCCTTAGTGAAGCCCTTCCCAGCACCCTCTCTACCATTTCATCATATTTCATATCCTATATGGTTCTTGCCAACCTGAAACCATCTCCTATTCAGTGTTTCCCCCACATCTATTGTCTCCTGACTCCACACTCTAGCCACTGGCCTATAATTTCTGAGAGGGTCTGAGAGTGTTTCCAGCACTCAAAATGCCACCCAGCACACAGTGGGAGCTGTATAAATACTCAGTGAGTGAATGAATGAACAGATCACGGAGCCTGGGGGAGGGGCGGGCTTAGGACTTCAGGAAACCAAAGCTGTCACCTGCTGCTTTTCTCGTCTCTGGAAGCTATGTCATTCCAGCAGCAAAAGCCTGGCACAGAATTTCTGCCGTGCATTTCAGGTCTCCCAGAGAGGACAGATGTGAGCACTTAGGAACCTGCAAGGCATATAGATCTCGGTAGAACCTCCACCCGCGCCCTCCCAACCCCAGCCTAACCCTGTGTTTCAGAGCAGTTGACCATTACATGTGAACATGTCTCTACTTCATCCTCACTGGGGAAATTGACGTGCGGGTTGGGGTCAGTGGGCAATCATCAGACATTCAGCTCAAACAAATAAAAGCCACTGCACATTATATAAAGTAGACATTCACGTATGGGGTCTTTCAAAGAAATCCTTGTCTTACTAGTCTTCTGAATACACATCACATCTTCGTCTGAGGAGCAAACAGACTGAAGGCGAAAGTCTACCCATCTGAACTCAGAGATTGCAGAGATTGCTGCTTTACACCTGCTCTTAGGGTGACGTCAAGGATCTGCAGAGAAATGGTTTCACTTCATAAAAATAAATAAATAAATAAACAAACCATTCGAAAGAGTCCATTGACCATGGCTCGTGCCTAATGGCAATAACTTCTAAGAATGTTCCCATCACAAAAATATCTGCAATTAGGGAGGACTGATGAGGAGGAGTCAGTGGGAGAGTGAGGACAAACTCCAGGCTCATCAAGTATTTACTGCCGTCAGGCACCTGCAACTAGGGTTTCACAAATGTCACCTCTGAAAAGTGGGTCTAATCATCCCTATCTCATAGATAAGGGCTGCTGCTGGGGTGTGAACTCCCGGCCAGGGAGAGGACAGTGGGGTTCCTCTGTGCCTCCCTTTGAAGGAAACAACATGAGACATCAGAGGCAGAATTTAATCAGTTCTCTGCAGATCAATAAAACGAAGGCAAAGAACCAGGCGGATAAAAGGGCAAAACATGTGAGAAAACATTTGCCAGGGGATACATGAATGGCCAGGGCACATAGGCAAAGATGTCCCATCTTACTAGGAATTCAAGAAATTGTCAAATAAAATCACAGGATAGCTTTTACCTCCTGAGACTGGTGATACTGGCAAAATGGAAAAGTCTGACATGACCAAATATCGCCAAGAACATGAAGCAATGCAACCCTTCTGCTCTGAAAGGAGCCTAATGTGGAGAAAATGGGGGATTTTCTAACACAGTCACAGATGCATCTACCCAGTGATGCCGCGATTTCACTCACGAGACAACCTCTCAAAAAACCCACACAAGAGAACATGACAGAAATGTTCACCACAGCACTATTTTTAAGGGAAAATATAAATTTGAAACAATCTGTAGGTCCACCGGAGAGGGATACATAAACTGGAGTACAGTCAGATAATGGAATATGATACAATAGTGACCTTGAACGAACTAGAACTAGAACTACACCCCTCAAAAAGTTTGCATTTATATTGCTTAAGGAACACACACACACACACACACACACACACACACACACCACAGAATGATAAGTGATAAGCACTAAATAGCATAGCGAATTTGGGTAGGGGGAGAGATATATACAGGAAACTTGGTCATTGTGATTTCTTAGGCTGAGTCTTGCTTCCATGACTTGTTTTGAATTCCTTAGCTGTTAACCATTGCACACTGCACATCTGAAAGGAAATTTTAAATGTGAAAATCAGAGAATAATAAAGTGATTAAACTTGGAAGTTCCCGCATTAAAACAGCGATTTTAGCACCATTGTAAAGAAGCCTCAGCTTAGCCACGGAAAACCTTCAAAAGAAATTGTTTAAATTCTTTACTCCCCTTTTCTCATTAGCAAACAATGCTCTCCAGTTTCTCCAATTTTTGGAGAAATGGCAGGTAATTAAGAGCCTGCCATAAATGTTTTGGCTTTCTGTTGTTTTTAATTGCAACCTTTACATCTTCCTGATAGGTTTTCCCTTGAGAGCCAAGTGGTTCCGTCTCCACGTATCAGGAAACACAGGCCCAGAGCCCCACCAGAGAAAGAAAATACCAGAAATGTCCCTTAGAGGTGCCGCAGGGGTGGTGGTGGGGGGTCACGCTGGGATGGCACGCTGTAGTTTCATAAGCTTTGAGGCAACTCTACTGATTGGATTTGGTGTGCGTGACTATTGTCCAACTATAAAAAAATAAGATACGCCCCCAATTTTTTCATAAAGCAGAAACTGAACAAGACAATGAAAATTAAGAAAAAAAAATTGGAACTAACCTTTAACCCCGCTTACAACAATAGTTCTGTATGTGAGTCACTTGACGGTTTTTGCAGTAACAACTTTGTTTTGTTTTGGGTTGGTGCCTAGACCTTGCAGAATGGATATGTATTGGGGAACCTCATTTAATGCTGATGTTGGGGGAAGTAATACACATCTTCATTAACAGCTTAACAAACGGACCCTCCAAGCACCAGAGGCCTAAGGGGGTCCCAAGATCTGTGAAATCAAAACTATTTTCATAACAGTATTCAGAACTTCTTTGTCTTTTTAATTCTCATTCTGTTTTTTCACCTGAAAGTGGACTTTTCCAGAGGCTGCCTGACATGTTACATCCTGAGAGACTTGATGCAGAAGCAGGTGTGAGAATCCAGCTGTCTTCTGTTAAGTCAGACGTTAAAGAGACTTGGGAATCGTAAGCAGGGGTATATGGTGGTATGTAGAACAGTATGACTTTTCTCGATAACTTTGTTTGTTTTGGAAAGTTCAGTTCAGCTCTTTTTCATAAGATGTACGACATTTATGTTAACACTTACGTTAATGTTTATTGTTTGTATTTAAAATAAATAAGAAAATGAATGTTTTCAATGCTCTCCATTTTAATTTCTGATATAGTAAATCCTGACAGCCGTAACCCACAAAAACAAACACTTTAGAATCCTCAATAATGTTTAAGTGTATAGCAACTTGCAAACCACTGGCCCCCGGCCCATCACGGAAAGCTGTGCTGGTAATGAAGTTGCTGAACTATTTCTGCAGTTGCTTCTGTCTCGCTGTTTCTAAAACCATAAAGTCGACCGGGTATAGCTTGGCCAGGAATCTGCTAAGTGGCAATTACATTTCAGATATGTGTGTGTGTGTGTGTGTGTGTGTGTGTGTGTGTGTGTGTGTATGAGTCCCAGTGCCCTGCAGGGTTATCTCTGGGTATCTCCTGATGGCCAGGGTAACCTGTTCTGGTTGATATCATCTTTGGAAATTTCAGACAGGAGCGGACTTTGTGCTCCAGGTATTTCAAGATCACCCTGGGATGTCTGCTGTATGGAAGTTAACAGCAGGACTCAGGCAGGTAAATGCTACTCCTTAGAAGCCACTTGGGGCCGCTTCCAACGGAGGTCTCTATTCTATAGAGACCAACGCAGGGCATGGAATAACTGCTCAAACGGGGTTCGGAAAGGAAAGAATTCATTTATGGGGACAATTCGGAATAGATTTAAGCAGACACGCCTGCCAGGGGAAGACCTGTCAGCTGCCAGAAAATCAGGTAACGACACGTTTAAGCCCACTTCTTAGTGTGATGGCACCATTCCTTCCTCCACTCCCCCAGGGAAGGTAGGCCTGCCCTGCCCACGGTGGCAAGGAAGTAGCTGGTATGGAAATGCCACGCCTGGGTTCAGTGCCTATCTCAGATTCTCCACTCTGCCCGGGATCCTGCCTGCTCCGGCCAGTCTGGGAGGTAGACACCGGCTGGGAGCGTGCGGCTGAGCCAGGCGGATGGGGCGCCAGCCATCGCCAAGGTGTGGAGGGAAAGAGGTGGCTGGCTAACACGTGCGCGACCTAGAAGCCGATCCGGACTCCCCTGCGGCGGCCCCCCGGCCTGCCGGGCGACCTTGGGGGAGCGGACTCCGTCTCTGGGAGAAGGTGTGCATCTCCCGTCTACCTGCAGGTCCGGCGGCGCTCTGACTTCGCTCCCTTTCCCTGCCGCCCTTTGCCAGGTCGGCCTAAGCTGGCTTCTCCCGGGTGAGCGGGTGGTGAGGGCTGCGTTTGGAGCCCCGGGCCCAGGCGGACCCCGAGGCTAAGGCGCGCAGGGAAGAGGCTGAGCGGGACGCACAGGTGAGGATCCCAGGTGGGGAGGCGTGCGGCTCACCCGGCGCAGGACGCACACCCCGCCTGGCTGCCAGATAGCAGAGGTCACGCCACCGCGGCCCCAGGAGGGGCAAAGGCGCACCCCGGAGCTGGGAACCTTCCTCCCTCCCTCCCTCCCATCACTTCCTGGCCCCGCGCCTCCCAGCTCCTCCCGCCGATCCCTCTCCAGCCCGGCTGATTCTGGAGGTCGGTCTGGGGGCGGGGAGTCTTTGGGGGCACGTCGGGTAAATGTGGGCTCCTCGCGAAGAAGGGAAGTCAGCGGCCTGGGTTAGGGTCTCTGAGATCCGTTGTCGCCGTCCCCGCCGGCCTCATCCGCTCCCACCTGTTTCTTCCTTCTAGTTCAGCGGGGGATGCTGGCCCTGCTGCTCTGCGGCGTGTCCATCGCGCTTCCACCCTTTGTCGCAGCAGGTACGTTGGGCTCCTCGCGTCTCAGAGGCCACCGTCGCGGGCCTGCCTCCTTGCGGCTCCGAGGGAGCGCGGGCGCGGCTCCGCTGGGGGATCGCAAGAGCCCCCAGCCTCGAGGTGGCTTCTACCCCTGGGGACCAAGTTCAATTACACCGAGTGGGGAAACAGTAAGTTGCCAGCATCTGCTCCGCAGCCCCAAATGTCCCCCTTTGAGTTTGGGAGGGGTGGAGGGAGAGGTTGGGTGGGCGATGTGAGGAGGAGGTGTGGATAAGCAGATTTGGAAGTCTTGAAACCAAATGCTCAAGTGGATATGATACTATTTTATATGACAAAGGGTCATTTTATGAATCAGGGTAAAAACAAAGACACCTTGAGCAGAACAGACAGACTTCTTCCAAGAAGAAACGCTGTGCAGTGCAACGCTATGCGGTTCAGTAGAAACGAACCTTAACATGAGTAGATTTGTAAACAATCCTTTCTGGGACGAAATACCTTTTATTCGAGACAGAGTGACATAACTGGTGGCAGAGCACAAAGAAACAGAAAAGAGGGTTCGGAATAGGAACGTTTGCTCAGGCAGGTGGAAGGGCTCAAGGTGTTAGAAAAGAAGGGACAGAAAGAAATCATTCCAGTTGGGGAGGATGAGTAAATGTATTTTATGGACATATTTTTGTCCATAAATCAGATGGGCAGACTATCATAGGGAACTCCCACACTGAGAAAACTCTCTGACACAATTTCAAATTGGCTGGAAAATTAAAGAGGCATTTGTTAAGACTAATTATAAATAGCACCAGCATTCTCTTTCATGATTCCCTCCACCCCTTTCTTTCCCTAGATGCATGCACGGATATTAGGATGTACAAGGAGACACCTTCCGCTGGCCAGCCATTTGCTTTTAATTGTATAAACCTGTCTCCAACATCTGGGAAAGTACACGTAACATGGTACAAATATCCCAGCAAAAGCCCAATATCCAAAAGTGCACAGGCTAGAATTCACCAGGAGCAAAACTGGATTTTGTTTCTTCCCCTGACACAGGAGGACACTGGGATCTACCAATGTATTATAAAGTAAGTTTCTCACTTAAAATAGAACTAAGTCCCTCTGTCTCTCTCTCTCCCTCTCTCTCGTACACACGTGTGTATGATAATAGAATTCTATGATATAAGAATTACATATATACATATATATATATGTAATTCTTTTGGGAAAATTCTTTATAAACTGTTAATAAACATAGAAAGCCCAGTGAGAAGGGGTGCCTGGGTGGCACAGTCAGTTAAGTGTCCGACTTTAGCTCAGGTCATGACCTCACGGCTTATGAGTTCAACTCAGGTCTTGACCTCACAGTCTGTGAGTTCGAGCCGGGCATCAGGCTCTGTGCTGACAGCTCAGAGCCTGGAGCCTGCTTCCGATTCTGTGTCTCCCTCTCTCTCTGTCCCTCCTCAGCCTGCACTGTCTCTTTCTCTCTCTCTCTCTCAAAACAAAATAAAAATATTAAAAAAAGATTTTTTAAAAGAAAGCTCAGTGAGAAGAATAAAATACGGTTTTATAATTGTTACCAGATGGTTTCCGGTGAACACATTTTAAAACAGAACCGATTTGTAAATCACTTGTTGGAACATGGAATGCATCTTTTCCCATTGAAAAAAGGCCACGGGCCAGACCAGCTTGAGAGTCTGTTTCTCCTATTGTTATTGCTGCCTTTTTCCTTAGAATGCCAGAAGTTTTTGTGACACGTGGCAAAATCGGGTAGGAATACACCTCCTTTGAGCACCTTTTGGTAATGGCTTAAAGGAATTTAACAGTGACCAGGCATCAGATATGTCCCAGGCCCTGTGCTAAGCCTCATGCTAGGATGTAATGTAAATGAGTGACCCAGGGCTGGGAGTATGGAGAGGAGAACTTTGGGCCTGGTGAGGGTTGTGGGGAACCAGAAAGCATGTGTTGCACCAAAGGCAGAGATCTCTACAACACAAGTCCATTTACTAATTTTTCTAGGGAACCTGGAAGTGTATGTGTGTGTGTGCGTGTGTGTGCGCGCGCGCGCGTGTGTGTGTGTGCGCGTGTGTGACTTTTCAATAAGCTTTGTGAGTATGGCTTAAATAAAACCCATTTGTGGACAAATTTTCCCTAAGGGCCTCAATTTTGTTACCTTTCCGTATGGACACGCATGTCTTTAACAAATGATTTCATCTCTGAGCCTTGCTTTTCCTATCTGTAAAATGGAAGTAATGCCGGCCTGATAGGGTTGAAGGGACAATTAGCTGAGGTTATGTGTGAAATCGGTCCTCCAGAAAGGTGATTGCGTTTGCCCAGTGGTACACGAGTGGGAGTGGCCATGAGCCCCCATTTCCTGGCTCCTTCCCACAATTTCCCTCACTGTGTAGATGACGGTGCCAACAAGGTGTCTTGTGGAGGTCTGCAGTCCTGTTTGATGCTAGGTTATGAAATAATAGAGCTGGAGATGGTATGGCACGCAGATTCATCAGCTGTCTGGGCTGGATTTAAAATAGGAAATCTGGTTGCTGTGGAACAGGGGAAGATAATCTTTCCTGGAAAGTAGACATAGATGCTGTCTGTCACGGAAAAAAATAAACGTGAATTCTCACAAAGTATTAACGTACAGATATGAGATGTACTTAGTAAACTGCGTATTTTTACATGGAAGTAATTTCAAATTCATGCAAAATTTACAGGAATGGTATAAAGAGCTCCCATCTATCTTTTCTCTAGATTCCTCATTATTTTAACATTTGCCACATTTACCTTATAATTCTCTGTCTCTGTCTCTGTCTGTCTCTGTCTCTCTCCATATATGACTGATGCCTGAACAACATGGGTTTCAACTGCATAGGTCCACTTATACACAGATATTTTTTGATAAATACAGTACATTGCTGTAAATGTATTTTCTCTTCCATATTATTTCCTTAACATTTTCCTCTCTAGCTGTATTATTTTTTCTTTTTTTTCCTTTTTCTTTTTTCATTTTAGAGAAAGAGAGAGCATGAGCAGGGGAGAGGGGCAGAGAGAGAGAGACAGAGAGAGAGAGAAAGAATCCCAAACAGGCTTCCTGCTCAGCGTGGAGCCCAGAGGGGAGCTTGATCTCACGACCATGGGATCATGAACTAAGCTGAAATCAAGAGTCAGTCACTCAAATGACTGAGCCACCTAGGCACCCCTCCCTCTAGCTTACTTTATTGTAAGAATACAGGGTCGCCTGGGTGGCTCAGTCAGTTAAGCATCCAGCTTCAGCTCAGGTCATGATCTCATGGTTCATGGGTTCCAACCCCGAGTCAGGCTCTGTGCTGACAGCTAGCTCAGAGCCTGGAGCCTGCTTCAGATTCTGTGTCTCACTCTGATCCTCCCCTGCTCACGCTGTCTCTCTCTCTAAAATAAATAAAACATTAAAAAAATGCTTAAAGAATACAATATATAATCCACACAACATACAAAATATGTGTTCATCCACTGTTTATGTTATCAGTAAGGCTTCCAGTCAATGGTGGGCTATCAGTAGCTCAGCTCTATGTAGATTTTCAGCAGTGCACAGGGTCCAGTGCCCCTAACTCCCATGCTGTTCAAGGGTCAACTGTATATGTATATTACACGCAATATGTTTTTTCTGAGCCATTTTTTCTAAAACGCTTGAGTTGTATGCATCTAGTTCCTTTAGCCTGGAGTAGCTCCATGTGTATTTGCTGTCAAGAATATTTTCTTCCATAAACACGGTGTAGTTATCATATTCAGAAAATGTAACTATCATATAACATTTTTATCTAACTCCCAATTCATACTATAATTTTGTCAATTGTCTCAATTTTTCTTGACACATTTCTTTCTTTCCTTTCCGGTAGAGCATCCAATCTTGGATCACGTATTGCATGTGGCTGTCATGTATTTTCAGTCTCTTTTCATCTGGGATAGATCCTCTGTCTGTTCTTCATGACATTGACATTTTTAAGGAGTACAGACAGTTGTTTTATATACTATCCCTTCATTTGGTTTTGCCAGACTTTTCTTCCTGAGTACATTGAGGCTGAGCCTTCTTGGCTGGAATAGCATGTAGTTTGTGTCTTCTTCAGACAACACACAGTGGTTCATGGTGTCCATTTGCCCCTCGTTGGTGGTGTTAGGTTGAATCACTTGTCCAGGGTTTCCACAATATAAATATTATTTTTCCTTTGTAATTAATGATTTGTGATATGTATCCCACCTTGTTTGAGGCAGAGGGCTTGTGCTATATCTTGAAGATAATTTGGCAATCTGGAGATTCATCTGATTTTGTGACTGTTGGAGTTTACGTGGTTTCAATTTGCCATTTCTTACAGCTACACAAACACCTGTCACAGAATCCATGTAAACCTAACTGTGTTGAGAAAATATTGGTATTGTATTTCTGGAAACAGTCAACTGATTTTATCAGATGAATACAAACAGATATTACATGCCGGAAAAGACAGCAGCCTTACTTGTCATCTGAACTTCCCACAGAGCTTTGTTTTGGATTCAATAACGTGGTACAAGGTAAAAAAAAAAATAATTTTCCTATTGATATTTTTCTACTTCTTTAAAACTTACTTGTTTTGGGAGCATCTGGGTGGCTCAGTCTGTTAAGCATCCTACTTCATTTCAGGTCATGATCTCACAGTTCATGAGTTTGAGCCCCATGTCGGGCTCAGTGCTGACAGCTCGGAGCCTGGAGCCTGCTTCGGATTCTGTGTCTCCCTCTCTTTCTGCCCCTTCCCTGCTCGTGCTCTGTCTCTCTCTCTCTCTCTCAAAAATAAATAAACATGAAAAAAAAATTTTTTAACTTACTTGTTTTTAGTTTAAGTTGTATCTTTTAAGGCCAGAGTTGGTAAAGAGACTTGTGTACCTAAGACAGATTTGTTAGCCAATTGCTATTGATAATTTTACCATGGTGATTATTGATTTTTAAATTTATGGTTATTATAACTTTGTAACATTTTATTCCTTGTATTTACCACCTCCCATTATATTTTTTTTAGAACTATCCTCGGTTATTCTTTTATTCTAACAAATTAATAAATTTGTTTGAATGGGTACTACATGCACATGATTCAATAATCACAAAGTGTAAAACATCACCCCTGGAAAGTGTCTACTGCACTTCCGAGTTGTATTTGCCCTGAACCCATCACACCTCTCCTGGCATGTGGCTGCCTTTATTAGTTTCTTCTATTTGCATTATTTTTGTATCGTGCTATCCAAGCAATTGAAACTACATCTATGTCTTTCCCTTTTTATGCAAACACGAAATCCTTGACTCACCTTTCTGCACCTTGTGTTTTCACCTCGAACATTCTCTTTCCTTGGCTGTACCAGCAGATGTTAATGTCTAAGACATAATCCTAGGCATGGAGGAGCCCAGTCTGGTTATTTAAGATTGGATTAGTTTTCCTGTAACTCTGCTTGTTAGCACCTGTCAATACAGCCATCTGGGGTGTGAGTGTTCTCTGTGGAAAGCTTTTTATCTACCAATTCCACTTGGTTAATGGAGATAGGCTTTTACCAATTTCTTATTTCTTCCTGAAAGAGTTTTGGTAAATTTTCCTTTTTGTAGGAAATTGCTCATTTCATTAAATGTTTCAGATACTCTGGCATGCAACAGTTCATCACCTTAGCTCTTTTAATGCCTGTTTCTGCCAAAAGGTTCTTCTTTTCATCCCTGTTACAATGGATTTGTCTCTCACTGTCTCACGGGATTAGAGACTCTCTCATAAGAGAGTTGTCAGTTTTATTTCTTTTTTTCACAGAATCCAGTTTTGGCCTTGTTGATCCTTTCTATTATATGCTTCACGTTCATTCACTTTGTCTCCATTTTCTGCTCTCACAAGGACTGTGGCAATGAACGTCCTTATGTGTTTTAAAGCATGTTTGCTGATGCATAAGTTTTTTAGGGTACATTCCGATTAGTTTTATAATTGTTAGATTGTAGGGTATGTATAAAATATTCAATTTTCGATGCTGCCGAGTTCCTTGACAAAATTTTTTTTTATCAGCTTATACTCTCTTCTGCAATATTATAGACTTCCTAAAACCTTTATCTAGAACTTTGTATTATAAGATTTATATGTTTTTATCAGCTTGGTGGGTATAAATGTTACTGTGCTGTTGTTTTAGTTTGCTTTTCCTTAATTATTGTTGAGATTGAACAACCTTTGCATATGTTTATTGACCATGTTTAAAACCTTGGAATTGCTAAATCCTATCTTTTGCCCTATTTATTTTTTTCATTTTTCTTGCCATTTTGTAAGACTTACAGGAGATTTTATATATTTATATACTCTGGGTACCAATGTTTGGAATGCATGAGGAATTTTCATTGAGGTTCAGTGTATGTATAGAAAATTCATGAAGCGTAAGTGGACAAGCTTGATGGATTATCAGAAAGTGAACCTACCCTTTGGTTACCCCTTCCAATGATCAAAGTCAAGAACTGAAACACCACTAGCACCTCAGAAGGCCCGCTTCTGCCATCTTCCAATGGACTGTACTTCCCTAACCCCCTGGCTTATAATAGCGTAGATTAATGTTGTCAGCTTACGAACTTCATTGAAATTGAATCATATTGTATGTAGGACTTTGTGCCTGGCCTGCTTGGCACAATGGCAAACTTGTGAGAATCATCATTTGAAGTTGGGATTGACTCGGTCTTCTTTTTAGGCCATGATGTTAGTGGTTTAACCAAATTGCATGGCCATTTCAATCCCAACTGATGACTTCAGGGTTTCATAGGATGTTCCTTATTGTCGGGCCCTGACTCTCGCTTTTGTCTCCTACACCCATAGATCTGTCAAAGCACTGTCTTATCAGTCTGTTGGCTGTCCCCTTCAGGGTAATTTGGGATAGTTAGTTCTAAACACCCAGCTTTCCATGAATGAGATTTCATCTTTATAGACATTATAGCTACCACCTGTGCCTTCTTCACTTCTGAGGCTAACACCTGGCCCTGAGGAAATGTTCAGTAAATTTCTACTGAAAGGGTGGATGGCTTCGGAGTTCTTTCTATCTCCAATATTTTACATTTTTCTTATTAACTATTGGGCCAGTAGAAAAAAGTGCATGACAAGTATTCCTTTAATGTGTGTCAGGAAGTATAATAAACAGTTTGCATACTCTCTCTCATTATCCTCTTATTAGCATTGGCTCTGACTACAGTTTAATAATTAACAATAATCCTGTTCCAAGGGATGCCTGGCTGGCACAGTCAGTAGAACGTGCAACTCTTGATCTCAGGGCCATGAGTTCAAGCTCCACGTTGGGCACAGAGCTTCCTTGGACAAAAAAATCCCTGGCTGTATTCCTGTCCTGCTCAGAAGGTACTTATTGCCAGGCCACAGTCCCCTCAGCCTCAGTTGGCTTTGACTGCGGCATTACCCACTTTCCAAGTCCAACTTTGGCCTTCTCAGGATATGGTGTCACACGGTCCTCTCCGTGGCTTCCACCTACTCCTCCCCCAGCATTCTGTCTCCACCTTGCAGCCTTGCAACAATCACCTCCTGGCATGGGTATTATGACCCTTTAGAGTCTTGACAGTAGAACTCTTCTCGAAATTTTTTCCACGTGTCCTGGACCTGTTGTGGTCGTAGATTTGAAAGCACTTGACATTTGGAGAGAGTTAGATTTTTAGAATCAACTTTGTCATGACCTCAGTATTAAGAATGGATTTTTTTTTAAAGCACTCGCTTGGACTTGGCTTCTACTTCCTCAATTAGACTATCCATGGGTGAGGTTCAGGCATCTTTATTTTTAAAATATCCGCTCATTTTGAGCAGATCGGAGACTAGGAGCCAGGCAGTATGAAGGGGAGAGGTTGTTCTGAAACTGCCCCACCAGTTGACCTCTGTTGTGGCTCTGTTTTTGCTACTATCTAGTTCAGACCTTGAGTTACTTTTTGGGACTCATTGGTTTCTTTTCTGTCAAATGAGAGCATTGGAATCAATTCTCCAGGCACTTAGAGCCTATTATCTGTCTGGTCTTTGCCAGGAAAATGCTTTGTAAAGGAGGTGAGCATTGCACTGCTGAAAGAATGAATACCAATGAAACTGGGGGGGAGCTGAAAAAATGATGGTAGTTAGAAAAAAAACCCAGCAGGTGCAAAGGGATCAGGTAAGAAAAAGAATGGTGTTTGGCGACATTAGTTAGAGTCCAGGGTCCATGTCAGAGTGGGGTAAGGTGATGCTAGGAAGTAGAAGATCTTATATGCTAACCTGCACATAGCCTTTCCCCACTTCATGTATGTTCACAGCGAATCACACTATTAGGGGAATGACACGCTAAGCTTCTTTACGTGTTAGGAAAGTCCTCACAGAGGTGCTGCAGGGAACAAATTGGAAGGACTTGTGGATGGTGTTGTGTGGATCATTGAAGCTATTTCAGAAATTCAGTGATTAAACGAGGACCATTTAGGAGAGCGCACGAAATAGAACAGACAGAATGAGGGGAAAGGAGAGGAGAGTAAGTGGAGGGAACTCATTCCTGGTGGCCCTTCTTTTCTCCTTTAGTTGGAGGGAGAGGTTAGGTCATTTAGAAAGAACAGTGCAGGTGAGTAGGTGAATGAGAGAGTTGAAGGCAAAGAAATTCTAAGGTGAGGATCATGAATTAGTAGTGGTGCCAAGACTCATGGTGATGTGGTTTTCTCCCACAGTGCACATCGGATTGTAGGCATGTAGGAGAGGGATGGCGGGCCCAACCTAGGATGGGGTTTTGCAGGCTGAATATGCTGGAAGGATAAAGGGCAACAGTGTTGAGGGATTTTGAAAGGGGGTCAGTAAAGTGATGGCCACATGATGGGAAAGGAAATGATACCTGAAGGAAAGTGGTAATTAATACCAAATGGAAGGGTCAAGAGGACTGATTCAAGAGAAGATAGAAAAATTGGTTTGATGGATAGAAAGTTCAGGTAGAAAAATAGAATGAATATGGTGGGTAGACGCTCACTGTCCATCGTGAGCCTCTTTAAACACTATCGAGGCTATAAAGCTAAAAAGAAAACAAGAACAAAATCAAAGTGACCAAACACACACCCTACAGTGTTCCAGGGTTTCCTGCACCTAAGGTTCCAGATGTGACTTCTTCCGTTGGCTTCCCTGAAAGGGTAGATCAGCCAGCTTTGCCTGCTGGACAGCGTGGGCATGGGGGTTTTTCTGCAGCGGCGTTCCAGACCTTGGCTTTGTGGGAGCTGAGAAGCAGTGGCTGTGCCTTCTGATGAGGTATTTGTTGGTGTGGTCTTACGAGAGGCGGCATGACTTCACACACATGAGTTGTGTCGTGGCAACTGCTAGTGTCTGACTTGCAGGTGATGTATTTCAGAGTCTTGATTCCCACCTCACCGTGATGCCAGAGGTAGCAGGGATCCGGTGAGCTAGTTCACCAGCTTGGTCTGGTTTAGATCTCACTGCCTGAGTACTTCTTAGGATTTTGTCAGCGCCTGTGTTAAATCCTTTTCTACCTAAAATAGCTAGAAGGCTTTTGCTTTCTGCAACTAAATCCCATTCGAGAGATATGGCCTCACAGACTTGTTTTGAAGAGTAAATGAAATCATCTATCTGGTAAGCCCTTAGTTCAGTGTAGGTACCTAGTAATTACTCAATAAATAAATATCAGATATGACTATTTGGTTAAAAGAAAAGAATGGAAGAGATGAAATAATAAAAAAATGATCATCAGAATGGTATATTTGTTTTCAGGAATTTAGAAACATTGTAGTTCTGGATAACGACCAAGCCCAGCTAGTGGCTGGGAGAATTGAAAACCGAGAGGAGTAGAGGTGGTCCTTGAAATTGAAGGGTTATGGAGGAGAAGGCTCAAGTATTAAAATACCTATTCTCTGGGCACCTGGGTGGCTTAGTCAGTTAAGCATCTGACTTGTGCTGAGGTCATGATCTCGCAGTTCGTGCGTTTGAGCCCCGTATCAGGCTCTGTGCTGTCAGCTCAGAGCCTGGAGTCTGCTTCAGATTCTGGGTCTCCCTCTCTCTCTGCCCCTTCCCAGCTTGAGCTCTGTCTCTGTCTCTATCTCTCTCTCTCAAAAAAAAAATAAATTTTTTTAAAATAAAATAATCTATTCTCATAGACAGTGAAGTATTCACATTCGAAAAGTAATAATGTCTCCAATCTTTTTTCAGTTCCAAATTCCTTCTCAATATAGTGACTTCTGCTCCACTACTAGGCTGACTCTGCACTTCCTGAGATCATTCTCAAAGGCAAATATGATCGTCTTATTCTCTTGCTGGAAAAGCTGCAATGTTCATCCCATTTTCATGGTTTTCTATGATTGGGCTCCTGGCTGCCTGACCGGTTCTATCTCTATCCCTCTCCTATAGGTGCTGCATCTTAACCAGATGCTCTGGGTTATTTTATTCCTCCAACCACTGCACGTGCTAGGCTGAAAGTGTTCTTCTTGGTGCTTGGGAGACAAAATACATTCCAATGTTGCCTGCTATTATTATTATTTTAAGTTTAAATCTTGTTAGTGAGCTGCCACACACAGATTTGTATGTAACCGTCAAGGCCTTCTGAGAATTTAAACTCGAAAATGGTGCCCTCATGGACTACCAGAGAAGCAGTCCTAGTTACTGTAAGCAGACAGGAGCCATCAAGATTGCTTCTTAAATGATCAAGAGTGTATTTCCATATGAGTAAATATTTGTACATCTTGATAGGATGAATGAGTCAATCAGAAAGGGACTGGTCAACGATGGAAACATAGAAAGGGATATACGTATCCACATATTCAGGGCTGTCAGGAATTGCCCCTATCCAGGCCCTATCCAGGCCCTATCCAGGGAAGAATGTTTTCATAGTCCGAGGACTCAATGCTTTTTGTGTGTCCCCCCTCCCAAGAAAGTGGCATCACATTATGGGATCTGATGCCTTCACCCATCTGACCCTTACTAATAATCCCCATTCTGTTTGTTAAGTAACTGTCCAATTGTAATTGGATTTCCCAAATGGGGAATAATGTAAGACTTCTAGAAATTCACACTGTAAATAAACAAACGCTCATTCTGGCATTATTGAGTTTTAGCTTCCAAGGTAGATCCATTCACGCTATTCCAGTGCTACTAAGTATGGGGTCTGCTCCTGACCTAGCTACAGCTGATTCAATGAGGCGAGAGCTCGAAACTCAGGCAATTAAATCTTTATGAAGGTAACTCCTAAAGTCTGTCCTCTATATTACATGACTGTGAGCTTTCTGAAGACAGGGACTGTATCTCATTCCTGCATAACAGGGCCTCTCACTGACTAGCAAAGAGCAGGAACTTGAATGCTTTAATGAATAAATGGACTCAATAATCCAAGAAGTCACTCTGTGGAGTGGCACTTCCCAAAGAAAGGGGGCAACTTCTGAGGAAATGTTCAGAAGTGGGTCTGTGAGATGGAAGAAGTGGCAGTTTGCACGAGAACGTGAGCCTCTGACAGACGGATGGAGGTTGAGGCCTGCCCTGTGGGTGGTTGCTGAGGATGACAAGTGAGAAAGGCATTCCTGAGACCAAGCCAACCTCACGCTGGTTTGGGGCGAGGTTGTTCTTGTTGATGCAGCAGCATGGGTGACGTAACACGTTACGTGACATCTGCCCATAAGCCTAGCTGGCACACTTTGACTATTGCTCGGGCCACAGGCAGAATGTTCTGGAAGAGTTATTTTGGACCTCTGTGAAGTCCAATCCCTGACAGGTTGAGAAGGTGTATTTGGGCCTGGAACACAGTGGAAGCAGTCATTAATCACCTAGGCTTGCAGTCTTGGCAAAGGGGTGTGGTGTCACAAAACAGTGGTCCACTGGGAGATATGGTCCCCTGGGGGTGGAAGGCATTCCTGCCTGTTCACACCCTCCTCCCGCACTCCTCTGTGGACCCAACCCAATCCTCCTCCATATAGTCTTCCTTCTAGCCCACATAGGCTTCTCTCCTCTCAATTTCTATTCGACTTATTATTTACAGCATTCACTGTAGCTTGTAACATATTATTTGCCAAATCTTCTGTAGATATTTATCCATCTTTCTATGTATGAACAGATATAGATGGGTATGGATGAGATAGAGAGATAGTAGATAGATAGATGATAGATAGATAGATGATAGACAGATAGATAATCATCTTCAGTTAGATTATAAATTACCCATGGTCTAGGAGTCACATGTTTTTTGCATCTCCCCACAGTTCATAGCATGGTGTTAACTAGGAATGTAACTGATACACCAAAATACTCTTTGAATTACAATGGACATATATAAGGGTTCCTGGGTGGCTTAGTTGGCTGAGCATCCGAATCTTGGTTTCGGTTCAGGTCATGATCCAAGGGTCATGCAATTGAACTCCACATCAGGTTCCGCACTACACACAGAGTCTGCTTGGGATTCTCTCTCTCTCCCTCTCCCCTGCTTGTACTCTGTCTCTCTCCCTCTCTCAATAAATAAATAAATAAATAAGATATGCATGTATATATATTTTCACATTTAGGACTGTAAAGAGATTAAAGGAGGACGGTTTACTCATTGGAGAATAAAGCTCTCAGTGAGCAACGTTTCGGCAGAGGACGGAGGGGACTACGCGTGTCAAGCCCGGCTGACACACAGAGGGAAGCAGTACACTGTTCTAAACAGCATCACTGTGAATATCAGTAAATATACTCCTATCCATTGCCTTGGCTTCCTCTTGGCTCTGCATGAGATGGCTGTCTTTGGCAGCAGTGATTCTCAATCTTGATTTTCCTGAGGGTTAGCAGGCTCTCAAAGTTGCTATTGTTAGAATCAGAGGGGAGAAAGAAGGGGAGCAAAGGGCACAAGGAGTTCAGTTTTCTCATCTGGGAAAACAGAATACTCAACACGCTTGGTATGGAAATGAAATGAAAGCACATATGTAAAGCAGGTAACGGGGTGCCTGGCAAAGTATAGGTGTTCAGAACATGGTAGATATTATTGTGACTCTTATTTTCCTCCTCTGTCACTACTGTGACTGCTTTGCTGGGCCATTCCAGCTTTGGCCTCCCCTCCCGTGCACACAGAGTTCAAGGTCTCTGGATTTGATGCTCGTGGGGCATCAGTTCTCAACCTTGGGAAGCCAATTGACTTGAACATATGACCTGGAGACTTGAACGCAGAATCTTTGGGTAGAAGAAACCCTAAAGATAATTTAGCTTAGGCCATTGATTTTATAGAGACCCAGGACGGAGTAACTTAGGAAGCTTGGAGAGCCGGTTAGGACAGAAACAGGGCCGGGACTAAGGCTTTCAGTGGTCACATGAGCCTTACTTCTTTTCAACATGTTCAGCAAGGAGTTCTTGCTATTGCCATTTGCTCTCTTGTCAGTAGATAGTTGTTTTCTTTGCTTATTCATCTAAATGGTAAGAACTGAAGACTGAATACTTCTTTGACTTAGACCGTTATGTTTGTGACTGATTTCTCTCAGACTCCATAATGCTGGGTGGTACCTAACAATTTCATAATGGTGTGGCTCTCTTGGGGGCACGTGTTCAGTATGAATGGCTTCCTGCTTCCCACCTAGAACCTTTTAATTAAGAAAATTAAGTGTATTACATATGATAATTTAAAAAAATTTTAATGTCTATTCAGTTTTGAGAGACAGAGAGCATGAGCGGGGGAGGGGCAGAGAGAGCGGGAGACACAGAATCTGAAGCAGGCTCCAGGCTCTGAGTCATCAGTGCAGGTCCCGTCATGGGGCTCTAAATCAAGCCATGAGATCATGACCTGAGACAAAGTTGACCACTTAACCAATAGAGCCACCCAGGTGCCCCTATTTGATGATTTGTATGCTTTTAACGTCTTTGGAGAGATAACGTCACCTTTTATCTCTCCAAAGGGAAGCAAAAGTTGTCTTGTTCCCAGCTCAATCCCCAACACCTAGCCCAGTGCCTGGCCTAGACTAGGCACAGACCTATTTATTAACAACATGATTGACAACTCTCATGCTCTAGCTTTATATGAGTAGCCAAAGGAATTTGTTGAAACATAACATTTCAAAGGCTACCTCAAGAGGTCATTGAGTTCGATAGTCTATATTTCATGTCATTGCAATAAGCACTTATTTATGATCTATTATATGCCCCAAATTGTTAGAAACTGATAATTAAAAAATGTTTTAAAAAACACCCCATCAACCCATTGTTTCTTCTGTTGAGAAGCTCTCAGCCTGGCAGTAGTGGAGCTGGAGGCATAAATCAATCATTTTACCATTATGTGGTAAGGATAGAGTTATAGATTATGTCCGAGGAACAGGAAAAGAATCAGAAGTAGCCACAAGAGTAGCAAGCAAGTGGCCTTGGAAGGCTTCCAAGAGGAAGTGTCCTCTCAGCTTAATTGTGAAGGATGAGTCAGATTTATAGAAGTAGAGAGTGAGACGGGGCAGAGGGACTAATCTAAGACAAAGCATAAAATTGTCCACCAGTATACTTTGTGTTGGGTCTAAAAGGAATTTTGGTAGAGCATACGTGAGCATGGAGCAGAGGGAGCTGAGGCCATGGAATGAAACAGGGTCAAGATTAAGGGAGCCAGTTACACGCAGGCTTTACTGCAGAGCCGTTGCAGAGCCTTCGGATGTAGAGGGATGAAGCTGCACTTGTGATGGACCAGACCAGTCTTGAGATGGTTGAGCAAGAGCTGAAGAGGGGCCCAAAGCAGCCCGCTTCGGCCATCACTGTGACTGGACGCTGCTGGAGTACCTACAAGAGTGCTGATCATCAGAACCTGAGTGGAATTGGCCGGGGGTCCTTCTTCAGGCAACAGTTTAGTGGCTCTTTACTAAGTGCCTGCCAAGGCTGGGTCCTGTTCTTAGTAGAGAGAGCACGATAAGGAGGAAAGTGGCAGCTCCATGACCGCTGCTCTGATGGAGCTTTGAAGTCTGAGGTGGGAGGGGAGGCAGAGATAAGTCAGATAATATGCTAGCGAGATGTATAATTACCAAGGAGATTAAGGTAATGAAGGAATGGAAAATGTAAGATCAGACAGACAAAGACCTGTTGAGAAGTCTGTGGGTCAGGGAAAACTTCGTGATAATAGTGATGCTGACAGTCAGGAAGCATCAACTGAGTAAGGGAGTAGGCGGGATTTTTCCAGACTGGGAGAGGAACTGAAGTGAAGGCCTTGTAACAAAACAGACCATGGTAGGTGTGAATAATGAGAAGCAGGCAGGTCGGCTGGAGTGATGCTGAGTGAGGGACGTCATGCGAGGTAATGAGGTGAGAGAAGTAATCAGGGGCCAAGAATGGGGGGGGGGGGCATGCAATCCAAAGCAGAGAGCATGGAGTTCATTCCGGGAACAATGGTAAGCAGCCAGAGGGCTGAGAGCAGGAGGGCAGCATGATGGGACTTACATTCCTGAAAGCTCAGTGTGGCTGTGCACAGAACGATCCCTACAGAGGTAGGAGTGGCAAGTAGAAGGCAGGTACAGAAATGCAGGTGAGATATCAGGGAGGCACAGGCAACATGATGACACTGAAGATGGAGAGATGTGGCTGGGTTCAAGGAATTTTAGGAGGTAAAACCCACAGGTGTTAGCGTTGGATTGAATATGGGGTAAAAGATATGGCAGGGTCAAGGGAGCTAGGTCTTTCGGCATTCTCAACAGCCTGGTTGGTGATATTATTTGATGAAATAATATAACTCTGAAGGAAAACTGGATTTAGGAGAGAGATCATGAGTTTGGTCACTGGCAAGCTGAGTACTGGGAGGTGCCCATGAGGAGGTGTCAAGTAGGCCAAAGCCATGTTCTAGAGAAAGGTCTGGAGTTGCAACTTTCAAAGTCCTTAGCCATTAGATGGTAATGGAAGGGTGGAGATGACTAAGAGCACTTAGGTAAGAGCAGAGAGTGGAAAATAGAGGGTTTAGCCGTGAAGAAGGAGGCACACATGAAGAAATTAGCTTGACTTGGTGATTGATAATTTGAAGAAGTGAGAGAAGGGCTGTTGCCTAGAACAACTTCCAGATTTTAGCTGTGTACGATCCAGAGCAAGGTGGTACATTACCTGGCCGGTGATGACTTCTGTTTGGAACACACTGAATTTGAACATTTTGTAGAAGGTGCCAATATTGTCATTATAAAGGATGTTTGGTTTTGCATTTTCCTAGCTTCCTTCATATAACTTCTCCACGTCCCACTCCAAATATAGAGGAAGAATATGGGGCTAGGCAGGTGATTGGTAAATATTGGTGGACAAATTGGGAAGGGAAGAAGAGGAGAAAAATGAAAGGCTGGGAAGTCAAAACAAGGCAAGACAGGAATACAGTAGTGAAGAGATGAAAGAACGGAAGCATAATGGAAGAGGACAAGATGTGAAGAATATGGGAAAGCAGGGATGAAGGATGGAGCAGTGAGATGTTAGGATCATTATCTCCATCTAGGACCCGGGCCAGGGCTCTGCTTAGAGTCACTGCTTACAAACTGCATTTGGATTATTAGCTAATGAGATTTTATTCCACAACTTCATCAGTTATATATACCAAATACAGGACGGTGAAGAGAACTCTCCTGGTAGCCCAGCATTTAGGGCTCTTCCTTAGCAATTCAGCTATTTCTAGCTTAAAAATATGCATTCATGGGGTGGTATTTCATCATGCCATGAATTTTGTTTTTTCCTTGACTAATGTTTATTAGTGTCTCCTTGACTAATGTTTAGTGCCATGCTTTCTTTACACTGGCATTGGATAAGTAGTTGGGAATGTATCATACCTGATTCTAATGCAGTTTCATGTGGGTCTGATTTCTTAGCAGAAACACATGGATATGCAGGAAGAATTCCTAAAATCATTTATCCAAAAAACAATTCAATTGAAGTACAACTTGGTGAGTAAAATGATTGAAGCCATTGAAATCACTAGAGGCAGAAGAATTTACATGTTTAATACAAAACCAATTAAATTTCATTGACTGTCCTGAAATTTGACGAGGATTTTTAAAAATTCATGTCAAAAAATGTTGGAAAAAGTTGGCAGGAAACAATTGAATAGAGGAAATGAAGAGGGAAAAAAAAGAAGAAACAAAGTGAGATCTTTTCTAGTAAAGCTATAATAAGTGAATACTGATATTTGTATACAAATAGAAAGATTAGAACAACATAATGGAAAACAATAAGCTTATGTTAGAATACACAGAAATTTAGTAGAGGAGATGTGTAGAGAAAGAGATATAGTGTAAGTGTGATATTAGTAAAACTTGTTAAATGTGAAGAATATGTAGTTCATTCTTTACCTCATATCAGACACAAAAAAACTTTTTTGATGAATTAAGGAACTACATATAAAAATAAACCCTCAAAAGTACAATTGGAAACAAAGATAAATCAGGGCACCTGGATGGCTTGGTTGATTGAGCATCTGACTCTTGATTTCAGCTCAGGTTATGGTCCCAGGGTCAGGGGATCGAGCCCCAAATCCTGCTTAGGATTCTCTTTGTACTTTTCCCACTCACAAGCACTTATTCTCCCTCAAATAATAGAATAATGATGCTAATAAAAGGTAAATTTATGTCCAACCTCAGAAAGATGTACTTTCTACACAAAAAAATCAGTGGAAGAAATCACAGATTAAAAATTAGACTATCATAAAAAATTTAAATGTCTGTGTATATAAAAAATGGTCAAATCAAAATGTGAATGATAAACTAAGAGACAATATTTGGAACAGAGATTAAAAAACAGGTACTATAATTTCTATCGAAAATACCAACAAGTCAAGGAATATGAATAATCCAAATGGAGCAAATGAATAGTTCACAGAAGAAAAAGAAGACAAAGAAAATATGAAAATATATTCATCTGCAATAAAGGAAACATACACTAAACCAATGATATCTATCCATGAAATTGGTAAGGATAAAACACATATAATACCAAATATTAGCAAGGATAATATAGAGGGTGTTCTAACACATGACCAGCCACGAATAAGAGCAATCCCTTTAAAATGTTTAGGTTTAAAACTCTCCAGAGGTTTCCCATCTCACCCAGAATAAAATTCAAAATCCTTGCATTCCCCGCATGGCCCTCCGTGGTTGGCTTCCCCTTGCTGGCACTTCACAGGTGCTTGGACCGTGTTGACTGCAGCTTTCCATTCCGCTCTGCTGCTTTGGGCACACTGCTGTACCTGCTGTTCCTTAACAGTCAAGCCCACTTCCACCTCAGCGACTTCACACATGCTGATTCCTCTACTTGAAATGCTCTTCCACACACATCCCCATGGTCTGTTTCTTCACTTCTGTCAGGTCTCCAATGAATGTCATCTCACCTGACCACTGCACTGAAATAGCACACATCCCTCACCGTCATGCTCTATCCCTCAAGCTTTCTCTATGTTTTCATAAAGTACTTGTCATGACCTCACATACTTTGAAGCTGTCTTGTTAGCTCATTCTATTTGAATCTATCGTTCTTAAGAGAAAGCTTTGCATCTGGTTTGTTCCTTCCAATATCACCAGTGCTCAGAACAATTTCTAGAACACAGAAGATGCTTATGGCGCCTGGGTGGCTCAATCGATTCGGCATCTGACTCCTGATTTCAGCTCAGGTCATGATCTCACAGTTTGTGAGATCGAGCCCCGCGTTGGGGTTTCTGCTGACAGTGTGGAACCTGCCTGAGGTTCTCTCCCTCTCTCTCTGCCTCTCCCCTACTTGCTCTTTCTCTCTCTCTCTTTCTCAAAATAAATAAATAAACATTTTTTAAAAAAAAAGATGCTCAAGAATAGTTGCTAAATATATAAATAAATCAATGGACCTGTATAAACTTTGCAGAGGGAAATTCCAGTATGTATTCAGACCCTTCACAAATATTTATAACTTTTGATTCAGTAAATTCTGGATGGTAGACCACATACAGCAGACACAGATCCCCAGGGCCCTATATATATATACAGATCTGTATATATATATATATATATATATATATATATATATATATATAATGCTTACAATGTTCAAGGAAAAGTTATAAATATTTGTGAAGTTCAAAAGAACATACTGGAATTTCCCTCAGAATAGCATATCAGATTTGAGAAAGAACAAACAAAACACCAAGATTGACAAATATAATCACCAAAACAAAAAATTCAATAAAGCATGTAATAACGTATTAGACATTTGAAAAAAGAACTACTGAGCTGAAATATAGTTTGGGAGAAAATGCCCAGAATTAAGCACGGAGAGAGAAAAAAACAGGAAATACACAGCTTACAGAAAGAGGATCCACAGAGCCAACATGTACATAACTGCAGTCCTAGAAGAAAGAGAAAAGAGAAAAATGAGAGCAGAAGCAATATTACTTAAGCGATTATCTGAGAATATTCCAAATGATAGACACATCAATTCAAAGACTCTGGAAGCTAGGAAGACCCAGCAGGATAAAATAAAAACCAGCCTACACCTTAAAATACCATCGTGAAACTGCAGAAAACCAAAATGAAAGAAAAAGTATCTTAAAAGTTAGGGAAAACAGAAAAATAAAGGAACCCTCAGTGTGCAACGGTAAAACCACTGTTTGAATCTTTAATGGAAATAACAAAGCTTGTTTGCTGAAAAAAAAAACACTGCTAATTTTATAATCAGTGAAAATATGACAAACTAAAAATGGCAAAATTTGCCAAGCCCAGTCTTAAAAGGAACTACTGCAATGTTTTTAAGCAGAAGGAAATATTTCCAGATGGCGAATCCGCTCTGTCGGAGGGAATGAAAGAGCAATGTTGGTGTAAATATGTGAGCAAATCTCAATGAATCTTGACTTCATAAGGCAATAATAATGATGATTGCTAGTGGGATTTAAAATATATATGAAATTAGAATTCCTAACAGCATTTGCCTATATGTAATTACATTCTAAGACTTTACATTCTCTTAGAAGAGAGTAGAGATATCAGTTGTATCAGACTTTGATACGTTTGAGGATCTATGTTTTAGTATTTAGGGTAACCTAATAATAATTTTTAAAATAAAGGATTATATGGAGTAAGTAAATAGGATCAAGGTAAGAAGGTAAGTTCCAAAAGAAGGAACAAAAGAAAGCAAGGAGGAAAAGACAGATATAGGACAGATGCTACAAATAAAATATCTATATGAGATAGTTGATTTAAACACACATATATCACCAATTACATGATGGACTAAATGCTCCAAATTAAGATTGTTGTACTGGCTTTGAAACAAGACATCAAAACTCTGAGCTGTTTACAAGATACTGGAAAAGACTAGAAAATGATATATTATATAGACACTAGCCAAAGTGATGTTGGTATAATTATACTAATATCAAAGTAGATCCAAAGGCAGAATGCATTATTAGAGGTAAACAGAGGTACTTCATAATGATTGAAAGTTCATGTTTGAATCTGTAGATACATGATAACATGGCCTTAATGGTGTGTGTGTGTGTGTGTGTGTGTGTGTGTGTGTGTGTGTACATACAGAAAGAGAGAAAGTTAGTTCAGGATTACAGGGAGAAATGGATAAATCTACACTAATAATGGAATAATACTAACGACAGTTTTCACAGTCGCTAATGAAAGAGACAAACAGAACACCCTATCGTGACAAACAAAAGGTGTCCAACGAATGGCCTGATGTGCATATTACAGAGTCCTGTGCCCAGCTACTACAGACTACACATTCTTTCTAATCAAAAAGAAATGTTTGATAAAATAGGCCATATATTGGGCTAAAACAGATTGAAAGCATATAAACTACGTATTGTCAGACCATAAGACACTTAAGTTAAAAATAAGTAATAAAAAGACAATTAGAATAACCATACAGGCTGGAAAACAATCAAATAAACAAAACCCTCTCAATAGCTCGTGGATAAAAATAGAAATCAGAAAATTATTTGACAATGAATACTAATGAAAAGATTACACTGAGGTCCAGGAGATACAAAGATTTGATCAGTGCACACTTGTTAACCTGAATTAGGAAAGGAAGACGGTTGAGGTATCTATGAACTGCACACTCACCTCTGAAGACAGAAAAGGAGAAGCAAAGTAAATCCAACAGAAATGGAAGAGATGAGGTGAAAAGTAATAGCAGAAAATAGTGAAAGAGTAAATGAATGTGCAATTGAGTGGCTAACAAAGAAGTTGGCTTTGTGAAAGTGGGAGATGATGGCTAACACTTAGATGATTAAGAAAAGAAGGAAAGGACAATCTGAAGGAAAAAGGCCATCACCATAGATCACAGACACATGAAAAAGATTATAAAAGGATATTCTGAAAAACTTCATGCCAAAAGATTTGAAAATCTATAAAGAAATGGGCAGTTTCTATAAAAATCAGCACAGAGGATCTGGCACAAGATTTTGGAACACAAATAAGACTATAAATTTAAAAATCTTGCCACGAACAAAATTCCGGATCTAGTTGGCTTTCCAGGTGAGCTCTACAAAGCATTTAAGAAAGAAATTTAACAAATTTAAACAAATCGTTTCACAGAGCAGGAAAAGAGGAAACAGTCATTAATTCATTATATGTCAGGAAAATCTAACCCTTAAAACCCAAAATGAACATTGTTACAACGGAAACTTCAGGCCAATCTCATTTGTCAACACAGATGAAAAATTCTAAGCACATTTTTAGCAAACTTATTTTAACCGCATACATAAAGAATGATACATTGTGGCTAAATTGGGCTTACATGAAACAATGCCAAGTTGCTTCCTATTAGGTAATTCATTCTTTTATTTTGCGTTAACAAACTAAAGGAGAAATAATAATACACTTACCTCATAGACACCGAAAAGCCATGAACACCTGAACTAGGAATTTATTATTAAAAAAAAAAAAAACCTTCCTTTAAAACCAGGAATATAAGGGAACATCCTTAATCTGATTTTTAAATATCTATCTTTAGAAACCTATAGAAGAAATAACACACTCAAGGCTGAGCTACTAAACACATTTCCTTTGTTTTGAGGGAGAGCCAAAATCTCAATAAATTTTGTTTTTGCTGAATTTGTTTATAATGTTGGTGTGGAAATGTGAAGACTGACTAATAGTTCAGACACTCTTGTCCAAATAGGCTCCACTCCCAGCACAGAGCCCGATGTGGGGCTCGATCCCACGATCCTGGGATCATGACCTGAGCTGAAATCAAGAGTTGGATGCTCAACCGACTGAGCCACCCGGGTGCCAACCCCCATGCTATTTTCTTGATGGGGTGAAGGTGGTATGGATATTTGCTTTACATTTATATTCTATATGTTTTAACTATACATATGTTATAATTTAGAGTTTGTTTAAAAAAAAAAAACTTAATTCCAGCTAGAATAAAGAAACATGAAGTAGACTATTTAGAAATAGAGTAATTTTTTAATGTCGTGTAAATAGATAGAATTTATTAGGCTCATGGGACCAAACAAAATAAAAATATAAAATAAATACATATAGAGCACTGAGTGTTATGTAGAAACTAATTTGACAATAAACTATTTGTAAAAAAAATAAAAAAATAAAAAAAAATAAAATAAATACATATAAAAATAAAATATAAATATAAAATTGTTCAGTATAATTTGTGAATGTGTGCAGAGTCCGAGTCACATTGGTGAAGTATTTGGAAGATTTACAAACAGAAAACCAGAGTTTATGTCTCATTTCTTTCCCGAATGTGTGACCTTGGGGGCAAGTCACTGATCTATCTGAACTTTGGTGTTCTTTTTTTTTTTTTTTTTTTTTTTATTTATTTCTAGGAGAGAGAGAGACAGCATGAGCAGGGGAGGGTCAGAGAGAGAGGGAGTCACAGACTGAAACAGGCTCCAGGCTCTGAGCTGGCAGTCAGCACAGAGCCCAATGCGGGGCTCGAACCCACAAACCGCGAGATCATGACCTAAGCGAAAGTCGGACGCTTAACCAACTAAGCCACCCAGGCGCCCCTGAACTTTGGTGTTCTTATCTGTAAAATGGACCTTATAGCACCTCCTCTTTCTTTTTTATTGTAGGATAGTTTTGAGGATATCAAGACCTAAGGGGACAATGTGTGTGAAATACTTTGTAAACTCTAAAGTTCTTTGCCAAGTTTCCTACGACCAGAACTAGTATTTGTGTCCCTAAGACTTTGGAGGACATTGGCCAGATGCTGGTGACATTCGGCAGCATATGTATATCTCTTTACAGTAGACACCCTGGAAGGCCACTTATCCCTATGATTTCTGTCCAGGGAGGGAATGAAGTAGATTAACATTGCCCTCCAAGGTGGATTTTTGGTAATGAAAAGATATTCTGGGCTCAACAGCAAGGGGTGTTTGTTTAGCTGATTATTTTTATAGATTTTTCATGTAATATTTATGAATTTGTTTTTACAGGCTCTCCCCTTACTGTAGACTGCAATATAACAGACGCAAAGGATAATACAAATCTCCGATCCTGGAGAGTCAATGACACCTGGGTGGATGATTACTATAATGAATCCAAACGAATCAGAGAAGGATTTGAGTAGGTGTTGTGGTTCTCTGACTTCCCTATAGGTTGGAAAGGATTTCTTCATTTAAATTATTTTAGGGGCGCCTAGGTGGCTCAGTCAGTTGAGCACCGACCTCAGCTCAGGTCTTGATATTGCAGTCCATGGGTTTGAGCCCTACATCGGGCTCTGTGCTGACAGCTCAGAGCCTGGAGCCTGCTTTGGATCCGCCCCCTCTCTCTCTCTCCCAAAAATAAAATAAACATAAATTATTTTGATGCTAATGCTGCTGTCTTAGATGCTTCTCACTGATCCCTTATCACTCCTTTGGCTTTTTCTCTCAAAGATCTTTTTTTTTTTAAATTATTTTATTTTATTTTATTTTATTTTATTTTTATTTCTAGGAGAGAGAGAGAGAGACAGCGTGAGCAGGGGAGGGTCAGAGAGAGAGGGAGTCACAGACTGAAACAGGCTCCAGGCTCCGAGCTGGCAGTCAGCACAGAGCCCGATGCGGGGCCCGAACCCATGAACCGCGAGATCATGACCTATGCGAAAGTCGGACACTTAACCGACTAAGCCACCCAGGCGCCCCTCTCAAAGATCTTTTCAGTGCTATGCACGGCCAAGCCTCTGGTTCAAGTGTGAGGTGTTCATGTTATCAATCCTGCTTACACCCTAGTCGGACAGATGAGGCAAAGCATCAGGTATTATGGCCTTCATGCAACAAGGCCAATTTCTCACCGCTTAAAACCAGCCTCATTCCTGTTTAGTTGTATCACGAGCTATAGACCTTCAAGGGTTCAGTAGCAAAATAAACAGCAACACAGGGACTCTTGGGGGAGACAGGGCTTAATCATGAGCTAACTGAGCATTATAAACCCAATTTGTGATGGTTTAAATTGGGTGACGTAAATCAGGACCGCTGAAGTCAGAGGGCAGGAGAAATTGTGTTGGATTCTGCAGGGTAGCTAAGTTAGGGTAAGTGGAGAGAATAAGCCTGAGGCTCTGGAAGGCTGAGGATGCTGTCTGTAATTAACAGAGCCACACTTCCAGAAGAAAATGCAAATTGTCCACACACCTCACTGAGCCACACCGTGAAGCCTTCTCAAGGTAACACGATGGCCCAAAGGGTTCTCTGGGAGAGACTTTTGTTCTCTAGACTGAAGATGATACAGTATGTTGGGTAAATAAGACTCACATATAAATGGGTGGCTCTTTTCTTTTACAGGTCCTATGTTCCTTTTCAGAAACATATTTTTTACACAGTGAACATAACCTTCTCGGAAGTGAAAATGGAAGATTATGGCCATCCTTTCGTCTGTCACGCTGGGGTGTCGGCAGCATACTTTATTTTAAAACTGCCAGGTAATCACTGGGCAGGGTTCGCGCTATTCAGAGGGCTCAAAACCATGACAAGGAGACACATATGAAGATGGCGTCGTATAAAACGCTTGGCGTGAGGTGGCAGAGTGATATTCAGTAGAAAACCTCAGCATTCATTTCCTGTTTGGAATTTGATGGATTTAAGCTCATTTCCAGAGCAGAGGATGTCAATACTCCTGAAGGCGATCAATGGCCCACTCAAGAATTTCTGGCCGTCACTCCTGTCTACTTACTAGGGGCTTTATGAATCTCATCAATATTGCATTGCATGGTTTTCTTATCATGACCATTACAGTACCAAGATCCATGAAGTCTCTACATTACAGGTTCCCAGACTTGGGTCCCCTCAAAGGGTGGGGTGACCCTGCTGTTCCAAAAGCTGGGGAAGGACAAAGAGAAGTGGAGGCTGGGTGGGAAAGGCGGCTCCATCTAACAAAAGCTAGAGGTTCAAACGGGTGGTCAGGGTCAGATTGGGCACCAGCGGGCAAAGCAGATCCACTCAGTTGTGTGGAGATTTAAGCAGTGGATTGCTATTTCTGTTGACCCAGAATGTGTTTTAGTTACAATGCTTCCTTGTGCCCTTTATTTAAAGACGTGCAGTAGTGCACGGAGAGGTCTTCGACCTCAAACTGTTTGCAGTATGCCGTGACCTAGGGGAGGTCGTGATAAGCTCCTTAAGGAGTATTTTTAAAAAATGAATGTGCTCTGGGGGTTCAAAGAAAAGAGAATTTCTCCTTCTACCCCCGGCCATCCCCTACACACACACACATCTTCTAGTGGGGACTGGAGCATCAGGAAGGGGCTGATGAAGGAAGTCATGTATGCGGTGGGTTCCAAGAATGGAGAGACTTTCTCTTCCTCTGTCCTTCTTCCTCTTTTCAAATTCTCTCCTTCCTCGAGCTTCCTTCCATGGCAGCACTGATTTGGGCTGCGGTAAGGGAGAAGGCTGTGTTCCTCTTCTTGGTGGTGTGGGAGCATGTTTTCAGGGACTTGGCATTCCAGAAGAACTGGTTCTGCTTCTTGGTCACCTCCCACACCCTGCATTTGCCATAATTGCTCTGTAATGTGTTCCCAGAGCAGAGCAGGGGTGACGCCCTTTCTCAGATGTGCCTTGCAGGCAGACCCCCAGCCCAGACCTGGCTGGCACAAAGGGGGCAGTCTGGCTCTCAGCCAGTTCAGGAGAGGCAGCTGATGGCTCCTTATTTATGACAAACATCCTGCTGCTCAATTTGGAGTGGCTGGCAAAGCAGTTATAACAGTGGAATAATCAGGAATGTGCAACAGAACCACCAAGGGAGGTCTTCTCTTAAACGTGCTCAGGCTCTGCCTCTGGAGAATCTCGAGTTGACTAAGTAAGACCTGGCCGTGTGTGTTTTGGGAGCGGTTCTCACGCATAGGAGCCATCCTGTATCCTCCCTCAGAGCGAGGGGTCTGCAGAATTTCCTTCCCCAGGTTCCCAAGAGCTCATCTGCTTCCTGTAATTCGTGGTCCACACTAGATTATTCTACTCCCATATACTTGTTATGTAACCGTAAAAAAAGATATATATTTAAGAGATATCCTCATTGACCATTCCCATTTGGCATTTGTAATGGGATCTGTATAAGGAAAGTGTATAATTGACCCTTTGTATTATAATCAGCATCAGATTATTGATGCATTTATTTGCTGTCATTTATAGCTCCAGATGTTCAAGCTTACTTGATAGGAGGGCTTGTCACCCTGATAGGTGCGGCCGCATCTGTCACGTACATCTACAGCATTTTTAAGATTGACATTGTACTCTGGTATCGAAGTGCCTTCCTTTCTGCTGGGACCGAGGAAGGTAAGTATGGGTAACCTATGAAAAATGCCTCATGCTAGGTTTCTGCTCCTCCGTGTACCCATTGTAAATATACCGTCACATATCTTGCTAGCTTGCCTTTCATGTTGTTGGCAAATTTGAAAGAAGGAATCTCCCTGGAACGTCACGTGTTTCAGGGAAATTGGTCTATGGTCACCGGCGTTGTTCAGTTAAATAAGGCTTGCGGGCTAGTAGTGACTGAGCAAACATTTGTGAAGCAACAGAAACAAATCATCCTCTGGGACCCACTGTGACCATTTTAGGGAGGTCATCACGTCTCCTGGTGTTTGCAAAAGAAGACAGTTCCTCCTAAAACGACCAGGGGCTCCCCACCTGTGATACATCTTCAACATGGAGGACACATGAACAGAATTTACATTACCAAGAGTGCTGGAGCTCTTTCTAGGCCCCGTGCTTGGTACCCGAAAGACTTAAGTCTCTGACTCTCAAGGCTGGAGAGAGATCTGGGTTTGCATTTGGCTCTCCGCTTACTCCCATGAGACCTTAGAAAGTATTTAAGGTTCTTCTCTTTCTTGCCTATAGAATGAAAAGAAACAGGAAGGAAGGAAGGAAGAAGAAGGGAGGGAGAGAAAATGATCAGAGTTTGCCTCACAGAGTATTGTAGAACAACTGAGTTCAAGTCCAGGGAAGCACTGAGCAAGGACAGGGGGGGCACACGGGGCGTCTTGTGGTCTGAAGGCCAAAGCCTCCCGCTGCCCCTGTCACTCTGCCTGGTCTGTGGGCCACACATCCTGCCAGCACTACTCAGCACACACATGCCTGCAAGGTCCTGAAACTCTGAGGACCAGGCATTTCCCACCATCGTGGTGTTTTTTTTTTTTTTAAATAAAGTTTATTTATTTATTTTGAGAGGCAGAGAGAGTGTGAGAAGGGGAGGGGCAGAGAGAAAGGGAGACAGAGAATCCCAGGCAGGCTCTGTGCTGTCAGTGCAGAGCCCAATGCAGGGCTTGAATTCACCAACTGCGAGATCGCAACCTGAACAGACACCAAGAGTCAGACACTTAACCAACTGAGCCACCCAGGTGTCCACCATTGTGGTTTTTTTAACTCTATTTTTTTGTTATCTCAGAATGGTTGTGATCTATTAAGTCCTTGAAAAAAGCAGTAAGTCTGCTTTGAAGTCCCCTGATTGGATGGAAAATTAACACATGGCCCAGAGAAATCTACACACCTCATGTGCATGGAAATATGCACATTTATACCGTTCAAGTCCAGAGACTAGCAATGCAGATGAGAGCGGGAGTTCAGGGAAGTGAGTGTCCTAGCGTGTTTTAGGAGTACCTACTCTTAAGAAGGGCATTATTTACACCAAGTGCCTACATTGCATATAAAAAACACAGTACAAATTGTCCATGTGTTTGAGAAAATAGGTGTCCTAACTTGGACTTTATTCTAACTTAAATTTCAAAATTCAAAACTGACAGTCTTTGTGCAGCATAGAAAGCAATGCATTCTTTTTTTAAAATAATTTTTAAATGTTCATTTATTTTTGAGAGAGAGAGAGAGAGAGAGAGAGAATGGAGAGAGAGAACGAGCAGGGAAGGGAAGAGAGAGGGAGACCCAGAATCCAAAGCAAGTTCCAGGCTCTGAGATGTCAGCACAGAGCCTGACATGGGGCTGGAACTCAGGAACTGTGAGGTCACGATCCGAACTGAAGTCGGATGTTCAAACGACTGAGCCACCCATAATTCTTTTTTGATGGCACAGCTAAGTGATGGAAACTCAGCTCTGCGTGTCCAGTGCAGCCTGAAGTGCCTCTAGATTGCCGACAGTCAGCTGAATGTGGGGTTTCTCTTTGGGCTGTGGTCCCTGCAGAGCCTCCTGCCTGCACATGGGGCAGGAGACCAGTGCATGGCCACTCGTCTTTTCTGACACCAGCGTGAGTGGTCCAGCTGCCCTCTGTTTAATGACTGACAGGAAACTGCAGGGACTTTAGTGACGTTCCCAGATCTCTGGTCCTGGTGTTTGGCTCACTCCCTGACTCCCTGGGACTCCCAGGACTCTGAGAGTTAAGGGGATGGAGCAGCTGTCTGCTGGTGAGGTGGGGTTTCGAAGGAGGAGATACAAGGATTAGTGACTCATGCAGAGAGGGGAGAGCTGAGCAGATGACACTCAGGGAGCCCCACCCTCTGCCGAGCGTGGGCTACAGCCCAAATTCAGGCTGAGAATTTGGACATCAGGGCATATAGTCAGCCAGGGCTCTTTTTTTTTTTTTTTCTCCTTAATTCAGAGAAGTACTTGCGTACTTTCTGATTAATCTCCACAGCCCCATCTATGAGAACTACCCCTGTAATTCCTCTCTGAGTGTTGGCTTTGACAATGAGTTAGCGATGAGACTTAAGATTCGTCCCTGATGCTATTTCCAAGCATTGTATCCCTTAGGGATATTTCCTGAGTTATTTGGGAACCGTGGGGTAATGGGTGGCAAATACAAATGAGGAAATAGATGAAATGTGTCTTTCTTATGATAAATTATATACTCCAAAGAGATTAGTTATGCTGCATAACATGAGTAATAGTCAGGTGTGTATAACTCAGTTTTACTGAGTCATCGACAGCCCCAGTGACCACGAGTTCTGTATGTTCTCTATTCAATTATAGGAGCTACTTTAAAAATTCTCCTTGCAGGCTGTGCATGTGTGTATAAGAATATAAGAGTCAGTTTACACATCTCCTAGAGAGCTTTGTGTATGCCTGACCTCCTTCCATATAGGTTTGCAGAGAACACAACAATGAAAAACAAAAACAAAGTAGGTACAGTGAACACAGGGTAGAATGGTAAAACAAACCTTGGGGGTAGACTCAATGACCAATTCTGGACACTTTTTAAAGATGAGCTTGCTTTAGAAGTAAAGGCAAAGCAATGACAAGATTCATTGTGCGTTTCTCACAAATACCCTTCCATTGCTCATGACAGCACACGACTTTGTCTGGGACAATTTTCCAAGGAAATGTTTTTGTAGGGAGTCCTTATTTTTAAAAGATGTAATATAATGAATCTTGTCTGGAACAGCATTCCCATGGTAAGTGTAATAGCATGTTTAATGTGGCTTTTTCTTCTAGTACATTCTATGGTAGGGCTAAAATGCCAAACCTCGTGCAATTTAGTAAAAACACCTGAAGGCCAAACGGATTCTATCTGATTTCTCCACTGGTCCAGTTTGATCAGGTTGGAGATTTAGCAATAATATAAGAAAAGAAAGTAAGGGGTTGAAAGTAAGGCAGTCCCACATAAATATTAATTTATGCAAATAAACATTGTATTTTTGCCAAGAGCCAAAAAAGGCATATGCAGATGCCTTGACATCAAAAGTAGTGCCGAATCTCCTCAGGAAATAAAAGAGGCTTGGCCAGAACCTACATGAACTGTTACCCCACCACTCTATAGAGGCAGGCTATGGGAGTATCTACCAGAAGGCCAGTTTCTCAAAATATTTACTAGTAGGTCTACATTTCTACAGTTTTTGAATGAAATAGACAGTTGGAGGGTGTGTCCAACTCATCATTATCTGTTGCCATTCATTGTCACTTTCCCAATTGTTGTTCCATTTGCTATGGCTGGGAAGCAAATTGCCTCAAACCTTTGTGGCACAGGGCAGCCATCTGTATTGCTAATGGAATCCGTGGGTCAGGATGTGAACAGGCACAGTGGGGATGGCCTGTCCCAGCTCCTTGATGTCTGGGGACCCAGCTGGTGGACTGACAGTTGATTTTGGCTATCAGCTGGTGGCCTCAGTTTCTCTCCCAACAGCTTCTCCTTGTGGTCTCTCTGTGTGGGTTCCTGTGGCTTCCACACAGCATAAGGATGGTGATTGGCTTACAAGGGCTAGCAGGTGTTACAAGAATAAGAGAACCAGGAAAAGCCATATTTTCTCTTATGACTCAGACCCTAAATTTCTAGTGTCAATTATACCACGTTGTGTTTGTCAAGGCAGCTAGAGAGTCCTAGCCAGTTTTAAGAGAGTAGAAGTAGATTCCACCTCTTTGTGTGTGTGTGTGTGTGGCGGGGGGGGGGGGGGGGTCGTCAGTTCTGAAAGAGCCTGTGGAACTGGAAATATTGCTAGGACTATTTAAAAAAAATGCTGTTTGACACACTTGCACAAGACTAATCAGGGAGAAACTTTGTGATATTTCCTCCTCCCAAGTCTCATCTCAGCCACAGCAGAGGGAGCACTGGACTTGGGTGTGAATCAAGGCTGTGCACTTAGCACCTGAAAGACTGGAGAAATCATGCAGCCTTGTCTCTCTCAACTTCCTTACGTGTAATCTGAAGGTACAAATGTGACCCTCACTGTGACTGTGAGACACAGCCATGAAGTGCTGGTGAACAGTTGTCTAAGAGGGCTCTTCAAAATGTGGGTGAATGCAAAATGCAAAATGGCCTCAGCTTTATTTTTTGCTATATTGGTCAATGAGCTATGAGTTGGTCATTTGGAAGTGACAAGAACCCACTGCATTTTGGGAACAAGTCATGAAGATAAACATTTTTACTCAAAAGCTTTGAAAGAATAAAAGGATTACTAAAAAATTGAAAACTTTTACTGGGGTAGTGAGAGTCCCTCACTACCCAAGTGTCCACTGTCTCAAAGTCTGCACAGCATAGCACAGAGCACTCATACCTTCAGATACCTCACTTAAACACAGAGAATTGGAACACTGTCAAAGAGAGAAATCAGGGAGTGCCCAGATGGTCAGTCAGTTAAGCATCTGACTTTTTGACTCATGTCATGATCTCAAGGTTTGTGGGTTTGAGCCCCACATCAGGCTCTCTGCTGTCAGTGCAGAGCCTACTTCAGATCCTCTGTCTCCCTCTCTCTCTGCCTTCTCCCTTTTGCACTCTCTCTCTCTCTCAAGATAAATAAATAAACATTAAAAAAAAAGAAGAGAATTCACTTAGCAAGCATAGTTTTTTGTTTTCTTATCCCCCCCCCCCCGTTTTTTTTAATTGAGAATGAAGAAAGAGAAATAGCTTGAGAGAAGAGAGACACCAGTGGTAGGGTTTTGGACAGAAGTGGTGATGAACATAGATGTTCGCTGTAGTTTCTAGACCATAAAATACTGTATTCATTGGGGAGGCTCTGTTATGTGGTGAAGCAAGTGTCAGGCTAACCAACCCTTTACCATAAAAAGGATAAATATTATCATATTTTAAGTGAGAAAATTTATTTCTTTCCAAAATGTTTAAAAGCATAAAACCTTTATGAAATCTTAAAAAAATTTTTCATATGTCCCCCAGCTTTAGAAAGTCAAGTGTATGACGTTAAACTTAATACAGAAGAAATCCACTTACAGAGTAGTGGTATGGACTAGTAACATTGAAGACATTGCATAAGGAGTTTCAACTCAGTTGAGTTTTTGCAAACTCTAGACACAAATTAATCATCCCTTTGGTACCTGCCTTATGACCCTAGTTTATTAAAAAGTGAAACCTGCTCATGATATGAAACTTCTCTCTCTCCCTCATAGTTGTAACCTCCTTGAACCTCTGTAAAATCAAGCCCCACGCAGATATTTGGCAAATACTGGTAGAGACCTCCTCTGTCATGGTTCTTGCTCAAGGCACTGAAGGCAAGATCACGCCAAAAAAAAGTCTGCATTCTCACACAGTTTCCTTTCATGACGGGGGTGGGGAGACTGAGGAAGAGTGTGCACGTGTGCACGTGTGTGCATTACCATTTTCCACAGGATGACCAGGAAGGATAGGCAGAGACCAGAAAGTTGTCAGTGGTTGGGGCGAGGATTTACGGAAAATGAGAAAAGGCTACATGTCGACTCTAAAGTTCTGTACACATTTGAACTACGATCTTCCTTGATTCATGATGGCGTTACATGCCAATAAATCCATCACGAGTTCAAAATACCATAAGTTGAAAATGCATTCAATGCATTTAACTTGCAGAACATGATAGTTGGCCCAGCTCACCTTAAACGTGCTCAGAACACTTACATTAGCCTACAGTTGGGCAAAATCATCTAATACCACACCTATTTTATAATAAAGTATTGACTGTCTCATGTGATTGAATACTGCCCTGAAAGTGGAAGACAGCATGGTGTATAGGTACTGCATGTTTGTCAGTCTATGGATTGTTGACCCTCAAGATCATGGGCTAACTGTGAGCTGTGGCTTTTTGCTCTGCTGAGTACCAGAGGGAGGAGAGGATCACATATCACTAGCCTGGAAAAGATCAAAATTCAAAATTTGAAGTATGGTTTCTCCTGAATGTATATTGCTTTCATACCATCATAAAGTAAAAATATCATAAATTGACTGTCCTAAGTTTGGGGACAGTCTTTAGACAAAGACTAGAAGAATACAAAATTTTACTTTCTTTTGTTAGGCTCAGAGCCATCCCCCTTTTCAAGTCTATTCAATCCAACAAACTTCCATAAACAGGGAATAGAAGGCGATGGCTCTCTCTTCAGTTCCTTTTTTAAATTTTTTTTAATGTTTTATTTATTTCTAGGAGAGAGAGAGAGAGAGACAGTGTGAGCAGGGGAGGGTCAGAGAGAGAGGGAGTCACAGACTCTGAAACAGGCTCCAAGCTCTGAGCTGGCAGTCAGCACAGAGCCCGACGCAGGGCTCGAACCCACAAACCGTGAGATTATGACCTAAGTGAAAGTCGGACGCTTAACCGACTAAGCCACCCAGGCGCCCCTTCAGTTCCTTTTTTTTAAATGTTTTTTTTTTAAATTTATTTCTGAGAGAGAGAGAGAGACAGTGTGAGCAGGGGAGGGTCAGAGAGAGACGGAGATACAGAATCCGAAGCAGGATCAAGGCTCTGAGCTAGCTGTCAGCACAGAGCCCGACGCGGGGCTCGAACCCACGAACCATGAGATCATGACCTGAGCAGAAGTCGAACGCTTAATCACCTGAGCCCCCCAGGCACCCCTCTCTTCAGTTCCTGTTAGGTTGGTTGTAAATTTATAAATAGCCTAAACATAAAAAATCACATTTTCTTTTTTTTAAGTTTATTTATTTATTTTTTGAGACAGAGACAATGCAAGTGGGGTAGAGGCAGAGAGAAAGGAGACAGAGAATCCTAAGCAGGCACCACGTTGCCAGTGCTGGAGCCCAATGTGGGGCTCAAACTCATGAAACCATGAGATAATGACCTGATCTGAAACCAAGAGTCAGACGCTTAACCAACAGAGCCATCCAGGCATCCCTCAAAAATCACATTTTGTAATGAGATGGTCACTCAAATCTTCTAGCTCTGCTAAACTTTCTTACTCATTTATATGACCCCTGATTAGAGCATAAGCAGTCCCCTTCCATGCGCTTCTCAAGCTCTTCCTCTCCTTGACCTTCCATTTTTCCCTTAAGCCCTTTAAACTCCAGGAGCTGCCCTACATCCTTTGTGAATTTTTCTCAAGAGCTCCAGACTGTGGGGAAGTTTCTTTTCTTTCTGTTTCTCCACTTCATGAGGCCATTTGTTATCTTGTAGTGTCTCGTGTTTCTATTTCCAAGTCTGTGAATGGCCTTTCCAGTTAGATGTTGTGTCTTATTCATCTGACACGGGTGAGCACAGTGACTGTTACATGCGGTTGATTGCTCAATAAATGCTTGGCTTGTTCTGGTGATGATGAAATGTGCTGTCATGTTGGACTCTCAGTTTCACACAGCAGTTCCTAGAGTCTGCTCAGAAGCTTGGTCTCCAGAGTGCCATGTGCAACTGCAGTGACGGAATTCACTGATGGGCCTGAATTGCGAGAGACTTGTTCGGTTTTGCCGGGTGCAGTTACGAAAGTCCGCCATTGCCCAGGACCCACTGAGGGTAACGGAGACTCCTGCTTTCAATTTTCATTTTCACCACAGGGAGTGGTGGACTTAGAGTCCAAGAAGCCAGGTTGGAATTGGGGCTGTGTGACCTTGGAGAAGTGATGTTTATGTAATGGTGACAAGACCGTCCTCCTCATAGGTCAAGGCCAGTGGGGTAGGAAACCCTGAACTGTAATTGACAAGTCACTGGAGGCTCAATGTGGACAAATCTGAGACTTAGAATCTTCACTGGGACCTGGTCAGAAGGGGTCAAAGCCCACACTTTTGTGAGTTTTACCTCCAGAACCCTGACCTGGCTCTGACAGTAAATATCCCATTCCCAGCCAGGGGAGGAGAAAAATCATTCTGAAATATCCTAGAGTACTCTGTTCTTATTAACAATATCTGACCTCAGGATAAACTAGTTAATTAAGCCTTACCTGCTAGAGTGTTATCAGAGCCTAACTGATCTGCACAAAGAGAAATACCCAATTCCAGCCAACCTAGCCATCCTGCCCCACCCAAATGGCGATGAAAAACTGAGCAATGCTTGTGAAGTTCATAATCCAAAGTCACTATAAGACTGAGATCTGATCATAGGATCAGAGACTGCACACCTCACCACCACGTTACTTAAGGACAGTTTATAGTACTTTCTTTTTCCCGGAACATTTTATCCAGCTATCAGGAAAAAGCATGAGTCATATTAAAAGGCAAAAACACAATTTGAAGAGACAGAATGCATCAGAGCCAGATATGGCAAGGGTGTTGGAATTATCAGACTGGGAATTTAAAGCATTCCTGATTAGTATGCCAAGGGATCTAATGGATAAAAACAGACAGCATGTAACAACAGACAGGTGACATAGCAGAGAGATGAAAATCCTAAAAAGAAGCAAAAAGAAAGGTAGCAATTAAAAAAAAACCTGTAATAACAATGAAGACTGTGTCTGATGGGCTTCTTAGTGGAGTGCATATGGCTGAGCAGGGAGTCTCTGAGCTTGAAGATATCACTCTAGAAACCTCTGAAACCGAAAAGCTAGAGAACAAAGATTGAAAAAAAGAAAGAATAAACTATCCAATGAGTGTGGGACAACCACGGAAGGTGTAACATAAGAGTGATGGGAATACCAAAGGAGAAGAAAGAGAGAAATATCTGAAACATGAATGACTGAGAATTTCCCTGAATTAATGTCAGACACCAAACTGCAATGCAGGGGGCTCAGAGAAGACCAAGTAGGGTAAACAAACAAACAAACAAGCAAACACCTGGGCATAACATTTTCAAGCTGGAGAAAATCAAAGACAAGAAAATCAAAACATCCTAAAAGAAGCCAGAGGGATAAAAACACCTTACCTGTCAAGAAACAAAGATGTAAATTGTATTCAACTTGTCCTCAAAAACTACCCACAGCCAAAGACAGTGAAATAAAATATTTTAAGTATTGAAAGAATGAGGGATGCCTAGTGTGGCAGTGCTTTGGCACCAAGCCAGCCAGCTGGGCACTCCAAAGTCATTGAACCCAAGGTTCAATGGGTTCAACTGAACTCAGATTTTTACTGTGTTAACATAAGAGAATGTGGTAGGAATAATCCCATGAGTGTATCCCATTTCCTTTTCAGATGGGAAGCTGTACGATGCCTATGTCTTATACCCCAAGCCTCAAAGAGAAATCCAGAGCCATGAGGTGGACACACTGGTGTTGAGGATTCTACCCGAGGTGCTGGAGAGGCAGTGTGGATACAAATTATTTATATTTGGTAGGGACGAAATTCCTGGACAAGGTATGTTTTGAGTGTGAAAGGTAGAAAAGCAGCAGATAAGAAGGGAGAGGGAGGTCTCCTTTCATTCAGGTTACAAATGGTGGGGGGGGGGGGCTCTGCTCGCCTTCCCTGTGGACACATGGGGAGTCCTACATTTCCTCAGCCCGCAGCCCCTGAGCAGAGTTAGGACCAGCCCTCTCTGTCTGGGGTCTATTCCTGCAGCAGGGTAACTGGGATTCCTGGCTGAAATAATGTCACTCTCACTGTGAGTACCATGACCAGGTAGTGGATGGCAGCATTAGCCAAGAGGCTAAACGGAAACAAGGGGTCATTTGCCCTCTTGCCCTTGAGACTCACTGCTGAGCACATTCTATCAGCTTGAACATATAAATCAGCTCATGTTTAAAGTTGATTTTATCTTGGGGCGCCTGGGTGGCTTAGTCGGTTAAGCGTCCGACTTTCGCTTAGGTCATGATCTCGCGGTTCGTGGGTTTGGGCCCCGCGTCGGGCTCTGTGCTGACTGCCAGCTCAGAGCCTGGAGCCTGTTTCAGTCTGTGACTCCCTCTCTCTCTGACCCTCCCCTGCTCAAGCTGTCTCTCTCTCCTAGAAATAAAAACATTAAAAAAAAATTAAAAAAAATAAAGTTGATTTTATCAACCTCAACCCCGCCCCCCAGGCTTTTCCTACATAAATAAAACAATTCATTTATTTAGATGTCCCATTAAGCAGGAGTGAAGCTCTGGGCAATGCAGGCATCATCTCTGAACCTCAGTTGTCTCATCTGCCAGATGGGGATGAGAAGGCTTCCCTGACTTGGCCAAGAGAGTGAAATGAGGCCAAACCTGAGTGGAGACCGTATGGAGCTTAGCACATATGAGACATTCAACAGATAAAAGTTTCCCCTTGACATCCAGGTTTTCCTTCCTGGAACTCTATAAAACAAATGGCTGAAATTTGAAATAAACATCCTTTCCTGGTCAAGAGGAAACCAAGGTTACCTCACAGCATTTACTAGTGGCCTGTTCTGGGTCATTTGCAGAGGTGGCTAAGTACTTTGGGTTTGTAGGCTGCTTGTGTCCATGGCAGGCTACAACTGTATCTCAGCCCTCATCTCCTCAAGTTATAAAATCATCTTCCAGAGGGGCTCCTGGGTGGCTCAGTCAGCTGACTTCAGCTTGGGTCATGATCTCGCAGTTCGTGGGTTCGAGCCCTGCGACGGGCTCTGTGCTGACAGCTAGCCCAGAGCCTGGAGGCTGCTTCAGATTCTGTGTCTCCGTTTCTCTCTGACCCTCCCCTGCTCACACACGCACACACTCTCTCTCTCAGAAATAAATGAAACATTAAAAACATCTTTAAAAAAATCATCCCCTTGAGGAAATGAAAATTGGATCTTAGGCTCGCCATAAACATGTGGAAGCACTAACATTTCTTTTTTTTTTTTTAACGTTTTATTTATTTTTGAGAAGAAGATAGAGAAAGGATGAGCAGAGGAGGATCAGAGAGAGGGAGACACAGAATCCAAGGCAAGCTCCAGGCTCTGAGCTAGCTGTCAACACAGAGCCTGACACAGGGCTGGAACCCACGGACCGTGAGATCATGACCTGAGCCAAAGTCAGACACTTAACTGACTGAGCCACCCAGGCACCCCAAGGAAGTGCTTACATTTCATAAGCAAGTTCTATTGCTCACGTATTCAGCAAGTATTTATTGAGCACCTACTATGGGCCAGGTAATATTCTAGGTGCTAGAACTATAAAAATAAACCAAAGGAAAGAAGAGCCTGATCTTGGGAAGGTCACAATCTAGTTTTATATTCTAAGAGTAAGGAGGATATAAAACTTAGTATTTATTGCTAAAAAGACCACGTTTCACCCATAGCTGGATATTTCAGGAACTCTCTCCAAGAAATCATCAGGGGATGTTATTAAGTTGCAAGTTAGTCCTATAACTCCTAGGCCTTTAAGTAGCTGTGAAGCATAAGAGGAAAACACAAATAAAGATTAATACAGTGTGTGAGCTATCTACATTTCCCCTCTCCATTTAAAATCTATTTATTTAAAAAAATGTGTTCATCATCTAATATATAGCAGCCCTTCAGCTAAGTTGGAGATACCAAGTTGGGGATGATAAGACTCTTGTTTAGAGTAGTTCAAGGTCTATGGGTGGAGCCTGAGTAAAGTGGCAACTAACTACCAAAAAATAGAACTTATGAACATGAAGGACCAATTTTTCAGGGAAAGTCAAGAAGGTTCCCAGAGGATGTGATAAATGTTAAAAACAAAACAAAACAAAAACCCTAACTTTCATTGGGGAGGCCTGGGTGACTCAGTCAGTTAAATGTCTAATTCCTGATTTCAGCTCAGATCATGATATCACAGTTTGTGAGATCAAGCCCCATGTCGGGCTCTGTGTCAATAGCATGAAGCTGGCTTGGGATTCTCTCTTTCTCTCTCTTGCTCTCTCTCTCTCTCTCTCTGTCCCTTCCCCGCTCACTTTCTCTCTCTCTCTCTCAAAATAAAGAAACTTAAAAAAAAGTTTATTAATCCATTCCTAAGTCACCTTTATGACAGGGACCCATTTCTAACATTCTCAATAGCACTGAGGTCTAGGCTGGTTCACTCATGAGATACTCTGCATCTTCTTTCCTTGTTTCCAGCTGTGGCCAATGTCATTGATGAAAACATCAAGCTGTGCAGGAGGCTGATCATCATCATAGTTCCCGAATCCCCAAGCTTTGACCTGTTAAAGAGCATGTCAGAGGAACAAATCGCAGTCTATAATGCACTCATCCAGGACGGGATGAAGGTCATTCTGATTGAACTGGAGAAGGTCAAGGACTATACGGTCATGCCGGAATCAATTCAGTACATCAAGCAGAAGCACGGGGCCATCCTGTGGAAGGGCGACTTCACAGAGCAGTCACAGTGCGCAAAGACCAAGTTCTGGAAAAAAGTGAGGTATCACATGCCACCCAAAAGGCCTCCACCATCTTCTGTCCAGATGCTGAAGCACAGGTACTGAGACCTATCGCTGGCAAGTGGGGGGCCAAAGTGGGTTTGTCACCAGTGATGGCATTGTTGGCACGGGGTGGCTTACCGACGGACAATGGTGTATCACATTTGGACCATCTGTGTGAAGCTTGCCATTGAATACTTGTGGTGAGGGGGCCTGTGTCTGTTGCTTGTTTTGATCAGGGCTACCTCCTTAGGGAGAGACATCACCTCTCCAGAAGGCCTTCCTTCACTTACAGGCTCTGATAAATATGCCCTGAACACAGAGACATAGCATGTGAGCCCTGGGGAAATGGGATACGAGGACTGTAGAGTGGCAGTTGAGATGTCAGGAAACTGGGCCCATGGTGTGGAATCCACGGGGTCAGAGGTGGAAGTCAGGGGATGGCAGGAGGCAAATCTGTGGGGAGGGTGGGCCAGGATAATGGCACTTTTTTCATGACCACGGTCCTAGCACATTGATCCTGGAAGCCACTTAAAGGTCACATAGACTAGTGGGGACCAGGTATGGCACCACTGGGATTGCACATTAGTTCCCCTCCTGCTGGGCCCCAGTCTTGAAAGATGTTACTGATCAAATCAAAACAAGTAACAGTTCACTTGTTTTTCCAGCTGGCCTGTGAAGGCCAGAATTCTGAGCCGCATGTGAGAGACCCCGTTAGCCCACCAAGATGATGCAATTCTAGTCTAGTCAACGAACCTGCGGCTTAGAGAACGTCCAAGTCTCGTTCTGTGGTTGATGACATCTCACCCTAACAAGTGACCCGCTGTTGTCAGCATGTTTGTGTCTCCCAAATGTACATCTTGCAACCCTAATCCTCAATGTCATGGTATTGGGAGGTGAAGCCTTTGGGAGGTGATCAGGTCATAATGGTGGAGACCTCGTGAATAGGATTAGTACTCTCGTAAAAGATACCCCAAGAGGTCCCTTGCCCCTTTGGCTATGTGAGGACACAGCAAGAAGTCTGTGATCTGAAAGAAAGCCCTCATCTGACCATGAAGGCACTTGATCTCAGACTTCTTGCCCCCACAACTGTGAGAAATCGATTTCTGTTGTTTGTAAGCCACTCAGTCAATGGTGCCTCATTACAGCAGCTCAGACAAACTAGGGCATGGCCCTAATGAAGAGTCATGGAGACTGGGAGGGAATCAGCCAATGGGCAGGGCAGGGGAGGGGAAGAGGGGGTGGGAGCATGAGCGGTGAGTTGAGAACAAAGACCCTAGCACGAAGGAATGAGCAGAGTGGATGGAGTCGGGAGTGGGCGCAGGAATAGGTGGCTGTGTGGCCTTCTTCACAGGCTGCAGACAGTGTTAAGTGTCTTGTGGGATCTTACATGATAAGGAGCCCACTCCAGTCTTAGAATTTAGGTTCCAAGGTGACCTAGGGTTACACATTTCTTTGTCATCACACGCCATTTCTCACTCAACATCAAGCCCCTCTTTATTTTATTTAACATTTGCTCTTTGAAGTTTTTTTCACTGTGCTAAAATATATATAATGTGAAATTTACCATCTCAACCATTTTTAACTGTACAGTTCAGTGGCAGTAAATATATTCACCTTGTACAACCATTAGAACCCTCTCGGAGCACCTGGGTGGCTCAGTGGGTTAGGCGACCGACTTCGGCTCAGGTCATGATCTCACAGCTTGTGAGTTCGAGCCCCTTGTCAGGCTCTGTGCTGACAGCTCAGAGCCTAGAGCCTGCTTCAGATTCTGTGTCTCCCTCTTTCGCTGCCCCTCCCCTGATCCCACTCTGTCTCTCAAAAATAAATAAACATTAAAAAAAATAGAATCCTTTGGTTCCAGAACTTTGTCATTTTCCCCAACCAGAACTCTGTCCCCATTAAACACTAACTCTCCCTTCCTGCTGTCACAGCTCCTGCAATGTTCTGCTTTCTGTGTCTGTGATTTTCTTGACTCTAGGTCCCTCATGTAAGTGGAATCATACAGGATTTGTCCTTTTGTGACTGGCTTATTTCACTTAGCCACATGTCCTTAAGAGTCATGTGTAATATTTGCTTTCTGTTTCATTATTCTTAGTTAGTCCCTCCTTCACTTCTTTCTTGTCTGCTTGAAGAGTAACAGGTGTCTATTTTACTATGGGGACGAGGACAACCACCAGAAGTAATAAGCTTATTAGGGTCCTTCTAATCTGATGTTTGTAAACTCTTTGCTTCTTGGCTTCTCTATGACATGGGAGTCATAACTTCTCATGGAGAGTTTGCCAGTTTAAGGAAAAGAAGCTATTTCTCTTGATGTACCCAGAAGCAAAGTGATGGCCACCAATGTGTCCCTAATTCTGTTCCCCTCACCGCCTCAGTTTTCTTTTCTCTGCTTGGTACTTGGAGATTGCTATAATGCCAGAGAAGGCTTGTTGGCTGCAGAGGTCACAGTGGCACTTTGACCTTCACTTTGTCTCGGGTGGAGTTCATCCCCCAAAGCCTTCTCCTTCCTTCCAAGCCCTTTCTTTCAGGGGGTGAAGAGAGAAGCCCCAAGAGTCAGGAGACAGGGTGAGAGCCTTGGACATGTCCTTAGTGAGGTTGTCCCGGCAGGCCTAGGAGTTTTAGGAAAAGATTCTCCAGGATTCTTCGGTGGCTGACCTTTTATAAATAAATGACTGTATCCACACAACATGAGTTGAGGGTCTTAGAGAAAAGAAAGACAACCCATCAGAAGCAAAGGTATTTTCTGAACAATCTCCAACTTCTAGAAGGCCAGCACTGTGGGTGAGGTTTTTAATTGGCATTGCTTTTCTAAAATTTATTTTTAATTTATTTTTTAAATTTACATCCGAGTTAGTTAGCATATAGTGCAACAGTGATTTCAGGAGTAGATTCCTTAATGTCCCTTACCCATTTAGCCCATCCCCCAGTGGGAATGCAAACTGGTGCAGCCGCTCTGGAAAACAGAATGGAGATTCCTCAAGAAATTAAAAATAAAACTACCCTATGACCCAGCAATTGCACTACTAGGTATTAACTGGCATTGCTTTTTACATCAAAAACTTCCTTCCCCTCCAATATGTACCCTATGTTCCTTTTAAAAGTATGTAAAGGTGTATTATTAATGCAATCACATCGATGAATTACATAAGGGTGTTGCAGTTTTATTGTTATCAAATATATTTTGTGTCCTACGTAAGGTGTTCCACTTCTCAAGGGTTCTGGTGTTTCACAAATTTGGACACTGTGCAGGTGCTCCCAGGCTTGAATATGGTCTCCTGGTGATGGACCGTGTGGTCTGAATTGGGATTTGTACAATATAGCCGCATGTCTGAAGGGATGGATAAGACTTATCTTATCCTGGTAAGTTCTGTCCTTATTTAAAATTTTATTTTTTATTTTTGAGAGAATCTTCAGCAGACTTCATGCTCTGTGTGGAGCCTGACTTGGGGCTCAATCCTATAACCCTGGGACCATGAGCTGAGCCCAAATCAAGAGTCAGATGCTCAAACAACAGAGCCACCCAGATGCCCCAAGATCTGCCTGTTTATTTTTTGAGAGAGAGAGAGACAGCGTATGAGACGGGGAGGGGCAGAGAGAGAGGGAGACACAGAATCCTAAGCAGGCTCCAGGCTCTGAGCTGTCAGCACATACAACATTATCTTAGTTTTAGGTGTACAACATAATGATCTGACACTTGTAAATACTGTAAAATGATCACCACAATAAGCCAACATCTTGCGATGAGAACTTTTAGGATCTACTCTCTTAGCAAGTTTCAAACATGCAATATAGTAAAGTCACCACACATCACTTTTAATGGTAGCATGGCATTCCATTGGATAAATGTATTATACTTTATTTAATCCTTGATTTATGGATGTTTAGGTTGTTTTCAGTTTGTAACTTTGGCAAACATGCTGCATTCATCTGATGATGATATTTCCTCACGACGTGTCCAGAGCCTTAGGCCTTAACTTGGTGTGAGCCATGATGTGAAAAAGATTAGGAAATAGATTCTAGTCCAGGGGAGACCCGGCAAAGTGAAGGGAATAAACTAGAAAGGCTCGATACTGTGTCCAGAGCTGGGGCAGACGTGTGGGTCTTCTCACTGGGCCATGGTTCTTACCCTAAGGTAAAGCCTGACCCTCTCAGTACTGTGATGCCAGCCACCCTTTGGAGCTAACTTCTAGAAACCTGGGGATGGACTTCTAGAAGCACACACACAATTCAGGCTTCTGAGGGATTTCCCTTGATTTACTCTGGGCCTTGTCAGGAGCACACATATTTTTGTTTGGTTTGATCTTGTTTTTGCCCAGCAGTAAACAAAACAGTAGCATTTAGGTTCATTTGAAATTTACCATTCCTGATTAAGAATTCCTTCAATGTTTTACCTTTTAAAAATTTTTATTTATTTTGAGAGAGAGAAAGGGCATGAGCAGGGGAGGGGTCGAGAGAGAGGGAGAGAGAAAATCCCAAGCAGGCTTCGCACTGTCAGCACAGAACCCAACACGGGGACTAGAACTCACGAACCATGAGATCATGACCTGAGCCAAAATCAAGAGTAGGACACTTTTTAAAAAAAATTTTTTTATAGTTTATTTATTTTTGAGACAGAGAGAGAGAATGAGCAGGGGAGGGGCAGAGAGAGAGGGAGACACAGAATCTGAAACAGGCTTCAGGCTCTGAGCTGTCAGCACAGAGCCCAACGCGGGGCTCGAACCCATGAACCGTGAGGTCACGACCTGAGCCGAAGTCAGATGCTTAACCGACTAAGCCACCCAGGTGCCCCAAGAGTAGGACACTTAACCGACTGAGCCACCCAGGGGCTTTTTGGAATGGATCCCTCTGAATGGCTGGAAGTTTCAGGTGAGAGAGGTCAATGAAGGAGCCTCTGTCCCTTCCTAGGACAGCTTTAGCTGAAACACCTCCATCACACAAAGCATCGGAGTTAGCTGAATTTCACCTCTTGCCTGGAGCCCCAGGACTGCTTGGGAATCTGGAGATCTGGGGCCGTGCCTAGTGGGGAAAAGCTTGCATTTAAAATTTGACTCTTTCA